ATAACTACAAATAGCCAGGCAATATGCCAAATGCTTGGGGGTTAGACTTGGAAGAAAGAACAGTGCTGGGTGGTATGTTTTTTTCTGTAATGCACCAAAAAAAACGTAAGTTGTTTTCTTCACCTCCCCTGTCTATATCCTGCTATGCCACTGAGAGTATTTGCTTTGCAACTGTGATTTACTGAAAGATAATTTTAGGTGGTGAATAATTCTTTGTGATGCCATCATCAACTGATTCACCTGAATAGCAACCAGGGCAACTGTTCTACATTATATGGGGTTTTAAACTGAGATACCCATGTTCAGGGCCGTTCCATGCATTGTAGAGTAATGCCCTTTTTAAGGTTTCAAATCCCTCTTGCCATTGAGCTGGTCACTAGTGAACTTGCGCAGACTATTTCAATCTGCCTGTTTTGAAGGCACAGATTCATGACGTCATAGAGACGTCACACGAATTCCGCCTCCTCAACGACCATACTGTCTTCAAGGTCAAAAAGGAATGTGACCATTGTTTTATTCCTTTCTGCAGTTAGTCACCACAAATGTCTGCAGCAAAGGGAGCTGGCCACCTTTTTGTATGTCTCACTTGTCAGATCAAAAACATACAATTGCACCAGTAGTACCAGTTTTCTCTAAATCCTTCTCTATGGCGCACAATTTCAATTTGAAGTAGCCGCTCCAGCGGTAGAAATCTCATTGAACTCCCTGCACACCACTATGAAAGAAATGCATTTTATATGTCCTGTTTTTGCAGCGTGTGTGTTCTGTTATGTTTGCAGCACACTTATTGGTCTAAATGTAAATGTAATAAATCCTACGAAAGCCTGAAGTGCTCTGTGCAGACAAAATATATGCAAGCATGAAGTTCTTATCGCGCGAATTCCGCGGAACGTTATACGATGGCTTTCATTTTTTATCTTTGGTGTTTATTATGGCGGTTTTTCGCGAAGCGTGTTTTGGCTTTAGGAAATGTAGCATCACATGGTCTATAATGACGCACTGATTCAAACTCCAACCAACCGGCTTCTCGGTACCAATCACAAACGATCGTTTGTATTGACGTCATTCAGTGACAGTGACAGCGGTCTCCTGGCAGATTGTGCCGTTCTTCACGACGATGGCTATGGCGACTGCAAGGAAGAAGTGTAGTGCTGTTTCAAAGCGTTGGCAGCGTAAGTTTGAGTCGAAAATGATTAAAATTTATATAATTACGTCTGGATGGCACTGAAGTTGCGGTACCCAGTGTCATTAGACGTAACTAGGCCTGCGGTTTCGCTGGAGTATGTATTCGAATTGCGCCCCAAGGATGGGCACTGCTTTTAAACGGAGTGTTCCACATTTGTATGGGGTTTTAAGCCGAACTAGCCATCTTGAAGATTATTTGGTGCAGTTCACAGTCACGCCATTCTTAACACGCGTGCGGGTGGCCGGCTGGATACCGTTCGCTCGGGTGGGGGTCATTTTGCCCCCCTGAGATCTTGGGAACCAAGAGGGCTAGAAACACCGATTTCACGGGATGTGTTGGCCTGTACATAAACTCACTTAGGTCAAAGTTTGAGGCCCCTAGGTCATGACCTTTGGGTCAAGTGAGGTCAAATAAGGTCAAATTTCAGGTTGGCCCCTTATGTGCCCCAGAACCGTAATGACGTTTTCAAGAACGTCTTTACTTAACAGAGAAATTGCGTTGTCCTGGGCAGTCTTTTCCACTTAAAAGTATACCAGTAGCAGTAAGTGGGCTCACTTCATCATATCTGATGATTACTTCCATATCCTCAAATGTGGAACATTCCCTTTAACTAATGACAGTTGGCCTTCAAGCACCTGAACACGTTAAATACAAGAACTGGGAATCAGATGACTTGAAGAGGGTGCTCCACATTTCCATGGGGTTTTTAACTGAAATAGCCATCCTTTTGGTGCAGTTCACAGTTTTTTCCCATCCAAGACCTTTTGGTGCAGTTCACAGGCCTGCCCTTCTTAAGATCTAAACCCTTCTAGTTTCTGAGCTACTCGCCCGCCAAAATGGGAGAGTATCCCAGGGTCACCTCGACATTTATAACGCCGCAGTAACGCCATCCAGATCCTGCCAATTCATGAGCCATGCGGCGATCGAAGACAACAAATGCCCATTCGTTCAAAGGTGGTGTTCGTGGGCACGATTTCCAGATATAACGGCCGTCAGTTCGCTCTCAATCAATGTTTTGCAAGGTACGACGACGTAGGCAAACAGGGGCATATCGAGAAGCATATTTACGTAATCGAGAATCTGTGTTGCCTAGGGCAGTCTATTCTACTTGATAGCATACCAGTAGTTGTAAGTATGCTTGTTTCATCAAATATGATGCTTGCTTCAATATCTTTAAATGTGAAGCATTCTCTTTGAGAATAGCGCCGTAACCGAAAATGCAAATGCGAAAAATAGAATGACTGACACCTATGCAAGAACTCCACGAGAAGGGCTTAAACTCGTGCACTTAACGCTCGAATCATGAACATACTGACATAGGCCACCAACGTCACCTTACGGCGCGTGGAAGCACTATAAGTGAGTCAGCCCGTTCGCTATAGTGATAATCCTTACACCGCTAGTCTGGCAGTGACTCCTGCGTCATATAAACGTTCCATGACGTGGCCAAAGCATGACATATTGAGGAACGTGCCTACGCAACATTGAAATGCTGTTGTCTAGAGCAGTTTTGCACTTGACGCTGACCCAGCGTCTAAGATGTGATGGGGTAAGGGACTGCCATACTCCCTGAATAATGGAACAGTTACACATATTATTGAAATACTGTCCTTCTCTCAATGCCAAAATGTGAAAGACAGCTAATCCTGAGCAGGATTTGAGTTTTTCAGGATGTATGGGCTGTGTGGATATTGTTATAAAGTTTGCAATGTTTTTGTTCTGACAGGTCATCATATCCAATAAAACTATTCTTGCATGCCCTGACGTGTTTTATTCCGTGACATGTCTGGTACTCGAACTAGTTTAGACACTGGGATAAGTGAATTTTGAATTCTGCTAGGTGTAAATTTGAACCCATTACAGCCTTTCTTGCATGTATCGAGTGGGAGGATATTCTGTCTGGTCTCACTGCACATCAGATGTGGGAAGTGTTCAGGGGTAGTTTAGAGGAAGGACAGCAAAGGTTCGTCCCCTTTTTTATTTTATTTTCATAAATCTGGTCCGAATCCTCCGAATGGATGGATTTCTGGGATCAGCGCTCACGCTAAGCAGTACTTGCTGTGTGAACCCTGACCCCCACCATCCGATCGCGCAGTTCCAGGCAACGGCAGAATTTAGTGGCGAAAGCTTAACGTGCCGCATTGCTCGGCACGGTCCGTCCTGTCCTCTGACGTCAACTGACCTTTAGCGCGACCGCTGCCACCGGCCGCAGGCCATACCTGCCAAGGGCAAATAGCGAGTGCCCTAAAGCGACTCGAACCCATCCCGCCACGGATGAGTGTGTCGGAATGCAGGCGCTCTAACCAACTAAGCCACTGGGACGGACAAGAGAAATGAGAGAAAAGGTCTCTAGGAAGCCCCCATGGTTGACACAGACAGTGCGTAATTCGATGGCGGGAAAGAAGGGGGCATATGAGCAAAAGGTGCAGGAACAAGACAGTGCACAAAATTGCAAGAAAGAAGGTTAAGCAGGAAATCGGGCAACCAAAATATTATCAGAGATATGGCGGGCAGTCACGTGCTCAGGCGGCGTTAAGTTTTGTAGGTACTACAAATTCAAATAGAATGAACTCTCAGTTGGCCCTCTCGAGAAAGATGGAAAGTCTTTTGTAGAGGACAGGAGCATTGTCGATGCTCGTTTTCTTCAGTTTTTACAAAGGAGACCACGCGTGATCTCCCTGAAAATAGGCAAAATCTGACTGAAGGCAGTCTCGTAGATTTTACGTTAGCCGAGGAGGGTATGATAAGGGATAGCCTGGAGGAAATCAAGGTTAATAACGCGGCCGGGCCTGATCAGGTCTATGGTAGAGTGTTGAATGAATGCGACAGTGTTTTGGCTTATCGTCTTATGCTATTATTCACTCGATCATTGAGTTTTTTGTAATACCCGAAGACGGGCGCAGTGCCGATGTAGTACCAATCTTTAAGATGTGGACCATAGGAGTGTCAGAAACTACAGGTCTGAGAATATAACCTCACTAGTTTGTAAGATCTTAGAGAAACCCACTGAAGTTAGCATTCAGTCGCACTTAGAAAGACACCAGTTGATAAATAGTAGTCAGCATGGTGTTATTTCTGGTAGGTCCTGTAGAACAAGGCCCCCAGATTTCGTGGACCATGTTACCGGTCAAATAGATAAAGGCAATAGTTGAGTCGTCTATCAAGATTTAAGTAAGGCATTTGATGAAGTGCCGTACCAACGTCTGCTCTATCAGTCAAAATTGCATGACAATGAGGTAAAAATTATTGACTGCGTAAGAGCTTCGCTGCTAGATAGGGAACAAAGAACGATGCTCAATGGTACAAAATGTCAGTGGGGGCTAGCAGAAAGATTTGTTTTACCCTCTGACCATACTGGGTCTGTTGTGTTGTGGTCTACTGGTTCACCTTTGGCTACATAAGTAAGTTAAATCATTTACTCCGAAATCACTGCTTGGAAAGGGTAGTGATGTGCATGTAACAGTGGGAGACACCGTGAACCGCTCGGCCGGAGGAGATAACGCCACACGGTGACCATGGTGGACTGCATTCTGAGGGCAGAACGACGTTTGAGGCAGCGGCGAGTGGTCTCCGAAGCTCCTCGCACGTGGAGATCCCTGGAAAAAGGCATTTGACAGCTGTCGTGCGTAACGCCGCTGCGTCAGACATGGACCGCAGACTCGGCGATGTCGGACCTTCTCAGACAGCGATGCCTCTTCTGCGCAGGTGGGCGGCGCCCGCCACCATGTCGGGTGGGATCCGGTCGGCGGTGGCGGCGCGGCTGGCGGACGCGTTGGCCGGGCACGTGCCGTCGCCTCCCAGCGCCGCCCAATTGATGGGCCAACTGACGGTGGCGTCCGGGCCGCGGTCCAGCCTGGCGCTTCCCGCCACCACGCTGCCGACCGGCGCCGAGCGGCGGCTGCGCGAGCGCCTGCCGGCCGCCGGCAGCGACCTGGTGTGCGGCGTCAGCGCCGGCCGTCGCGGCCAGCTGCTGATCGACCTCGAGCCGGCGGTGTTCCGCGACGCCGCGGTGTACGGCGTGACGCGCCGGCCTGACGAGTTTTGGCGCGGCGAGCTGACCGCTGCCGTGGAGGCCGAGCACGCTGTGGTCGAGTTCAGCTCGCCTAACATCGCCAAGCCGTTTCACGTGGGCCACCTGCGCTCCACGATCGTCGGCAACTTCGTATGCAACATTCTGGCGGCGGTGGGGCCGGCGCCCGTACGGGTCAACTACCTTGGCGACTGGGGCGCCCAGTTCGGCCTGCTCTCGCACGGCTGCGAGACGGCCGGGCTGGACGCCGAGGCGCTGGGCGACGACGGCGTGGCCCGCCTGCTGCAGGTGTACGTCGAGACGAGCCGGCGCGCGGAGCACGAGCCGGTCGTGCGCGAGGCGGCGGGCCGCGCCTTTCACCGCCTGGAGACGGGTGATGCGGTTGAGCGGCGCCGCTGGGCTGCCTGCCGCCAGCTCAGCTTGGACAGCCTGCGCGCCGCCTACGAACGCCTGGCCGTTACGTTTGACCACGTGGACGGCGAGTCGCTGTACCCGGCTTCGGCATGCGCCTCGTTGCTGGCACGGCTGGCTGAGCGCGGCGCGTTGACGGAGCGCGACGGAGCCACCGTGGCTTGCCTAGACGGCGACGTTGAGGTGACGCTGGCACGCTCCGATGGCTCGGCCGTCTACCTAACGCGCGACGTGGCGGCCGCCGAGGACCGGTGGCGCCGCTTCGGCCGGCGCCGCCTCCTCTACGTGGTGGACGCCGGCCAGACGGCGCACTTTCGCAACCTGCGCGCTGTGCTATCACGACTGGGACACGACTGGCACGCCAGTGTGCAGCACGTCCCGTTCGGCCGGGTGCGCGGCATGAGCACGCGCCGCGGCGCCGCCGTCTTCATGCACGAACTGCTGGACGAGGCGCGCGAGCGCATGCTGGAGCGGCAGCGGCGAGCACCGACCACCGACGTGCTGGAGGACCCGGAGCGCACCGCCGACGTGGTGGGCACCTCGGCCGTCATCGTCAACGATCTGCGCCAGCGGCGGCAGCGCGACTACGAGTTCAACTGGGAGGCGGCGCTGCAGCCGAACGGCGACGGCGGCGTGCGGCTGCAGTACCTGCACTGCCGGCTCTGCAGTCTGGAGCGACGCTGCGGCCGCCCGCTCAACCCGGACGCGCCGCTGGCGCCGCTGCTCGAACCCGAGGCGGCCGCCCTCGTAGGCCGAGGTGGCGCGCTACGAAGAGGTGCTGGTGGCCAGCCACGCGCAGCTGGAGCCGTGCCGCGTGGTGATGTACCTTTTCGGGCTGGCGAACGCACTGGGTGGCGCGCTGAGACGCTTGCCGGTGAAGGGGGCACCGGCGGCCGAGGCCGAGGCCCGGCTGCTCATGTTCCACGCCGGCCGCCTGACGCTAGCGCACGGCATGCGCGTGCTGGGCCTGCGGCCGCTGGAGAAGATGTGAACCGATCGGCCGGCGGAGGCGCGGCCAGCTGGGGAGCACCCCCTGCCAGCTGGCTGCACCGGCGGAGGCGCGGCCGGCGGGGGAGCACCCCCTTGCCGGCTGGCTGCGGCAACTGGCGCTGTGAGACGAGGGCTCGGCAATTATGCGTGCATATGACGTAGTTACTAGAACGTACAGTGTTAGAGGCTCAGTCCGCTGTGGGCGACGTTTGAATGCGGATCACAAGTGCTTGAAATACATTTGCGAGCGCGGAGAGCGATGTTGTGGTGGCCCAGCATGGTGCTGCAAGCGCTGTATCCTCATTCTGATGAGTAAAATGGAGCACGGCAGAGATTGAGAGCAGAGCGCCGAACGCTCACGGCCGTGTGCCACTTGTGAGGGTCTCGCGCAGAATTCGGACCGAAACATTTACAAAAACGGCATCAGATGTTACACGATGGATGCGATTCGACACTCCGACACTCCACGCTGATGGAGCAAACGGCTGCTCCGTGTCCACCCTAACATGTCTAGCGCGCTTCGTTGAATGCCATTATTGTTTTGTGGGTTACATTGTATCAAGGGACTTGATGCACGCATTTGTATGCATTGAGACAATCTGAATGGACGAAAAACGTATTTGAAGTTGATGTTTCATATATAGTCCATGTCACATGTGCCAACCCAGCTCTGAATTTGTGTTTTACACTAGCAAGACGATATGGACATTTGCTGGCGTATGGTATCTTCTATAAGAAGATAAGTGCTGCAGTTGTTGCTGCACGGCCCCAATGCCATCACGCACTGGTCTGGGCGCGGCGTGCCTGGCGGTGCCGCGCGGGCCCACCGACAAGCGCCGCTCCTGTTGCAGCTGTCGCTGATGGGTCTCCTGAGCGTGCTGGCCGAGCACCCGGCGCTGTCGGCTGCCGCCGGCTTCTTCATCTGCTTTGAGGGGCATTATCTGTGGAGACTGCTGGCCCGTACCGTCGCCGACCGCTTCCTGTTGCGCCGCATTTCGCCTCTCGAAACCATCCGCAACTACAGCGTGTGCACCACCACCGACCTGGACGCCTTCCTGCACATGAACAACGCCCGGTACGCTCGCGAGATGGACTTCGGCCGTTGGGGCTACTACGTCCGCACCGGGCTCTACCGGCACTGGCGTGGCACAGACGTGCGCATCCTGCAGGCGTCAATGATCATCCGCTTCCGCAAAGAGGTGTCGCTGCTAATGCCGTTCGTGGTGGAGACGCGCCTGGTCTACTGGGACGAGGCGAGCTTCTACTTCGAGCAGAAACTGGTCACTTTGCATGACGGCCGCGCCCGGTGCGTCAGCCTGTCCCAGCAGCGCGTGCTCGGCTCCCTGACGCCCGTCCGCCTGATGGCGCTGGGGTTCGACCGCGAGGTGGCACCGTCGCCGCCCTCCGACAGCCTGCGCGCCTTCATCGACGCCAACGCCGCCTCGCAGCGCGACTTGGCCGTGATGGAGAAGCGCGTGTGACGCACATCATCCGCCGCAGGCGGCAGGCCGCTGCAACGAGCCAGCTGTGCTGGAGCCACCGCGTCTGCCGGCTGGCTGTGCTGTGGTGCTGTCTCATTGCTGTTGCTAGTTACATCCCAGTAAACAGCAGGTTACGTTCCAGGACGCTCGCGCACGGGCTATTGGAATGATGATTTAGATATTTTGAACGTATATGCTTGGGCAGAAGCTAGGCAGATATAGGTATTTTACCCCTTGGTCATATGTTCTGTTGTCACTGGACGTGCATGCTAAACTGCTTTCCGCACATAATGTGGGGTCCACTCATGATGTTGGCCACTCCGGCCGTGTGCGGTACGCGGATGTTGAGTCCACTAGCTGATGGGTCTGTCGGTGCTGACGGGTCTGCGCGGGGTCGAAAGTCTAGTCAGCCGCACGGCGCGCGGCCACGTCTTCCGTCCGGCCAGTGGCGGCGCCCGTTAACCCGGTGATGTCGGGGCGGGTTCCACGTGGAGTGTGTTGAGTATAGTTCACGTGACACTGCTCGGCCGCGGGCTGTGGGAATGTGGGCGTCTGGTGTGCGGGTGTGTGCGTGCCAGCCAGGCCCCGGGTTACGGTGAAGGGGAACCGATCGCTGTAGGCCACGTTAAACGTGCTGAATGCCTGGCTCGTAGTCAAAGCTTGCACCGAACGGATTTTGCGCGTGCTATTGTCTGCTCACCATCAGTTGGCGCTCGGTAGCTGGTGACGGTTTAGGTTTTTTAGCTGTGTAATACATGACGCAAATACAATCTCTGTTGATGATGGGTAGTGACGTAGCTCCACTATAACCTTCGTGGGTGTGGTGTGCGAAGAATGCTTATGGAGGAAGCTGCTTATGGTGCCAACTGAAACATATCCAGTTAAGAATTCGCGATATTTTATTGGCACTTAACGCAGTCGTAATATTCCAGTCCTGACGCCCCGCACCAGTGGTGACCAGCGAGGTCGATGGCTGAATAATTCCTGGCTATGTTGCAGGAAATTCTAGCTTGAGTGGCCGTCCCTGGCCCTCCCTATTTGCAAAGTATCATCTTGCAACCGCCGTTCGTATCCGTACGCAGTTTCTGTGAACAAGCAGCGCAATTTATGTAATGCTATGCCATGTGGTTTTCAAGCCGTTGGTATTCAGATTATTCAAGCGGGTGTCCTGCAACCTTGTACAGTTACCAAAGCTCAACATCCCACCCGAGGAACGCAAACTTGCTCACAGTTTCCTAAGACATGCGCAACGTTGGTCCAAAGTACCGGTCCCAGATCATGGTGGCTGGGTCGCTACCCGGGATCAGCGCGATAAAAGAGGATGAGAAGAAAAAGGCATGCGAATCAGTGCCGGATCTGAGCAACCGTAGCAACAACAAAAAAGAAGACAAACCAGCTGCGTATAGTGACGAACGTACTGTATACCTATCGCACAAATCGATGCCAGGACGGCCCTTTGAGGGGCGCCAGTAGTGTAGTGGTTGAAGCGTCTGCGTTAACCACTGCACGTCTGGGAAACCAGAGGTACGGGGTTCGATTCCCCGCGGTGCCTGCCCTTCCTGCCAGGGTGAGAGGCAGGCGACGCTATATAGCCTCAGCAGCCGAGTGCGTCGTAAAGCCCCAATGACATGACATGACATGACGACCATTTGAATTGGACAATATCGGGGAGGCCTTGGCGAGGCCGGCATTAACTGTTCCGATGGGCAGGATTTGCGACCAAACCCAAACGCAGTATTGTTCATTTTGTTCGTCTGCTTGTTTGTTGGGATTTTCTTTGACTACGCCCTTACACTAGATAACTGAAGCACTCGGCGAACAGGCAACTGCCACTTACAACATAACATTGATGCCTCTGCGGCATGGGAGTCATGGATATTGGGCAGCGCGAGGTACGATCAATTGCATTGTGAGGGTAAGTACGAGCCGCCGGGGTCAGACGCACGCAACCTGGCCATGCAAATGGAAAAGACGTGAAACATACCGAATTAGCCATAACCTTGCAAACTTTTCCGTTTTGTGTAAGAACTTGGTTCATGTTCAATGCAAATGTGTGGCAATGTGAAGCCATCGGTTTTATTGGATGTTGTGTCATGCCCGCCTCCAATTTCAGGCACTAGGTTACTTGTCAGTTAGCACCTTAACGCTACATGAGCGACCTCTTTACTTTTTAAACCCTCCCAAAAGACGGGCATCACGTCAGGCGCCAAGCGTAAGACCCATCTGCATACAATCCAAATGCGTCCGCAGGGGCACGGGAACCGCGGAAAAAGAAGGGCCACCCAAGTTTCTGAAAATTTAGCATTGGCCCTTTCGGTGTTGACTGAAGAGAAATAACTCAACTTGCTATCTTTCAACTTGGGAGAACCTCCGTTGGCTCTTAAGTGTCGGTGTCAATGCTTATCTCTCAAATCTTGTCGCTTCCGCCCTTTCATTGCGCGCCGTCGTACATAGCTCTCAAAAATAAAAACTGGCGACTTGATTTTTCACACCAATATCGACTCAAACCATGGAGAGAACATATTCGTCTGATTACATGCGTTGTGGTACTTATACGGCTGTGTACGCTATGCATATGCCACATCCAGTCTGGCACCTAGCCTCTACTCTAGCCAGTTCATTTTGCGTTGCCTTTCACACCACCTTCAGAACTTCTGGTTACATACGAATTCCTACGGCCCACATCCTTTCAAGACAATGGGGGACATCCATCCGAAGGCAAACGTGTAGTCTGCTATTGAAATTTCCACAAGGGTACGTAACCGCGAGTCGTAGACTCGCCGGTGTCACCTGCTCGCTGCTCTCTGTGCAGGTCGCTGGCGAGTTCAAACCAGATAACTGCAATGCTGACGGAAGAAGCAAAAGATACTGTCGAAACGTTTTTCAGGCTACATGAAGAAAGGGTTCGAGTCTACAAAACCCTTGAAAGGTGGGCTGTGGATGGAAGAGCGTTGCGTTAAACAGGAGTTTTACTTCGTCTACACCATGCAATTGCGACCAAATCTTTCCGTTTCCATGTTGGCATGTTGATGCGCATTCTTTTACTTCACCGTCATGATCCATCTGTCGGAAATGTTTTGTTTTAGCTGGGCGTCGTGCCGCCTGTTCGTTCGCCTCATCGTGCCGTTGTTAGCGTGCTAATGAATCGTCACCGATTCCTGTCGAAGAGGTTCTGTCGCTCTAGCTGCAACTTTTGTCGTTGGAGGTGGTAGAGTTGAATTTACACGCATCTCCGAAAAGACTGACCAGTTATATGATCTACCTTCAGCTTGATCTGCGCACGTCGTTATCCACTTTCATCACTGGCAATGACCCAATGTGCAGTGTCCAATTCCCGGCTCCGACAGCTTCTTGCACCGCCATGTTCCACCGAAACGAAGACAGAGTTACCTCGGCACTTGATAATTTGATACAGCTTAGATCTGATTTTATTCAATGTTGATTTCATTCAATTTTGATGTTTAGAGTTTCGTTTCCTCGACACCCTTGGCTCTCGGGCCGTCCGGGCCGCCTGCTCTTCTTGCCCCTTTGCGGGCCGGTCTGACCGCCCTTCCATCCCCCCCCCCGCCCGTTCTCAGCGGCCACCGGCGTCTGCTGCTGACATCATCTGACGCCGCTGAGTCTGCAGCCGCCCTCCCGGCCTACCAGGCCGCGGTGGCCATAGCCACCGAAGACTTCTCCTCCATCAGCAACCGCGTCCTGGCGCTGCTCACGCGCATGCGCGGCGAGCCATCGGTGTCCGAGTGTGTGTCGGCCGTGCAGCGCATACAGGATCTGGAGCGGGAGAAGCTGCACCTGGTGCGTAACCAGTGCCTTTAGTGTCAAATAAGGGGGGGGGGACTGCTTGTCAACTGCGTTCGAAGCCAGCACATTACATTGTAAGCTGGAGACATGATCTGTTCGGTCATGTCAACTTCGATACAAATACCAGGCGCATTATACATGTCTAAACATAATGTTGTACCATGCGTATCACATAGATGTCGTGTGCAGCTGCAGTGAACTGCGACTCGGATTTAGAAGAGTCCAGGTGTCCTCATTTACTTTGTAGATGTCTTGTTAGGGGCGGCATTTACTTCACATGCACGGCATTACAGAACCGCTTTAACATTCTCATTTTGCTTCAGCACAGTGGAGTGACAAAGTGGCACATCAACCCGCAGAGCTGGCCCCCTTTGTGACACAGCCGTTGTACTTGTTCGTGTTCAGACGTGCGAGATGCAGCTGCTGGCGTTCCAAGTGCACCAGAACCCCCAGGACGCCGTCAGAGAGCACGCTCTCCGCCAGCGGCGGAAGCACCACGCTGACATCATCGGCGCCATCAACGAGTGCATACAGGAGCTCCGCTGTGAACTGTACGGCTAGCCGGCGGCTCGAGGCTCGCTCTAGCCAATGGCCCCGGACGTCTTCGTGGTCTCCCCAACGCCGGCCGAGGTTCTCTGACGTCTCTGCGGTCTCCTCAGCCGTACAGTTTGGAAGATGCTGCGGGACGCGTGGGCGCGCCGCTAGCCAGCTGGGTGGGGCAGGGCCATGCCGGTGCGCGCGGAGTGACGGTGGAGTCTCTGTGGCGTTGACTGGTGATCTGCCTTCATGCGTGGCTGCAGGGGTGAAAAGTGTCTTTTCTGTCACCGAAATAATTTGGAACCGTCTAAATTGTCACCTGGAGCCAAATCTTTCAGAAACCATTGCAATACACCCCTAATTGTGATAAAACATAAAACAAAGACAAATTAAATGAAACTTGGCGTAGCCGCCTTGCACTAAAGTATCATTTGTTAGCCATCAAACACTGAATGGTGGTTGAGACTGAAGTAATAAAATCGCGAGATGAAGGCATGACCATCCTAGTGGCTTTTAGATTTTTAGTTGAGGGGAGGGGTACTGTACCTTCTAACCAGTGACGAAGTTTCGTATGTTTAGTTGGCATTTCCATCCATTATGTTTCTTTACTCATAATTCTTGTGTTGAGCCTCCCAAAACTAATTCTGAGAAACTGCACCACTGCTGGCGACTGTGAAAAGAAAGTGCGTCAAATCAGTGGAGAAAACTAATTTAAGTGGATTTCGGATTTTTTTCAGTCATTTTTTATTCTGCACCCTGCTCCCCTTCCCTCTCTCATCCTTGCGTGTTTGGAAAAACTGCATCCCTGCTGCCCTTCATTGACCAATCACGTGGTTCTGCAAAAACCCGGAGATAATGAATTTTGGTTTTGTGACGTCATCGTACAATCAACTGGAAGCGTTGGCGAACTCCACTATCTTTGCTTTATCGTTGCCAGTGCAGAACGCGCTCTCCCCGACATTATCACGACTTTTTGCAGCAAAACCCGTGGGATATTGTTATCAATAGTGAAAAAAAATGTCTTTGAAGACCTCTAACACCTTTATTCAGCTTTATCTGCAAAATGATGATAATTACAAGTGCTTTATCCCATGCGTGTCCACCGATCAGTACGCTAACTCTGCCATACAACGGCCAACATGAGAGGCCTACACCAGCGATGCCAGGGCTCTCACCCAAAGACGCTATTCTCAGCAGTAGGAAACCACGAATGGATCCTTGGCATGAATCGCTCCAACGTCCTCCGTTTAACTCTGCAGCTTCAGCTCAGGTATTCACAAACTACAAACCTTCTTGACCAGCGGACCTACAATCTTTTGACGCCGTAACTTAAAAAAGTGACGATTAGCCATGTTCTTGGGTAAAATGTTACTTTCGTACCTGTCTCGCCGATGGAGGGAAGAGGACGCTGGTTGCAGGGTGTGAGTACTGTAGCGCCGCATTAAGGATGTGAAACACCAGCCGATAATGTGACGTCACTGGGCTCTTGGGCCGACTGAAGGCTGTAAGGCATTACCAGACGGTGTTACATCACTGGCATTCGACTGAGCGTGTGACGTCCCTGGTTGTGAGTTTTCAGGTCTCTTTTGGGCCGAATGAATGCTGTAAAGCATTAACTGACAATACAACGCCACTGGTGTTTGACAAAACATCAGACGCGACAGGCCATGATCCATCTTTACCTTTGCACCTGTCTTACTGCAAGCATTTGCGTGCTGAGCAACGATTCTGCCGAATCACCTGATAATGTGACGTCACTGATAACGGCTTTGTACGAGTTCCCTTGGGCCCCAAGGCCATCATGCATCATACCCGTGAACCATCACCGGACGATATGGCGTCACTGGCATTCAACTAGACATCAAGCACAGCAGGCCATGTTCCATCTTTACCTTTCGTACCCGTGTGTTGTGAGTGTTGGCGTGCTGAATGAAGGCTCTGCCGAATCAGCTGGGTGTGTGACGTCACTGATCATGATTCCTACGAATTTACTTAGGTTCGCCAAGGCCAGAAAGTATCACTGGATATGACGTCACTGGTATTCAACTAAACATCAGGCGCAACAGCCCATGTTCCACCTTAACCTTTCATACCCGCACACCAAGCACTGGTGTGCTGAAAGAAAGCTCTGCCGAATCACCTGAGCGTGAGCCGTCGTTCGATTACAGTAGACCAGTGTGAAAGGTGAAGATGGAACATGACAAATTGTCCCTGAGGTTGAGTCTAATACCAGTGACGTCATATCGTCAGGCTGATGCCTTAGAGCCTTAAATAGGCCCAAAAGAGCCTTTAAACTCATGGCCAGTGACGTCACATGCTTAGGTGATTCGGCAAAGCCTCCAATCAGCACACCAATACTTGCAGTAGACAGGTACGAAAGGTAAAGATGGAGCATTGCCTGTTGAGCCTGATGTTTCGTCGAATACCAGTGGCGTCGTATCATCCGGTAATGTTTCACGGGATATGATGCTTCGCGGCCTTGGGTGGTCAAAGTGAACCCGTATTAACTCATGATCGATGACGTAACACACTCAGTTGATTCGGCAGACCCTTCATTCAGCACGCGAATGCTGGCAGAAGACAGGCACGAAAAGTAAAGATACATGGCCTGTTGCGCTTGAGGTTGAATCGAATGCCAGCTTGCTGCATGACCTACAGCAGTCGATGCGCCCCGAAACCCTCTCGAATACCAGTGGCGTCATGTCGTCAGCTGATGCTCTATGGCCTGTGGACGGCCCGAGAGAGGCCTAAAAATACATGGCCACTGACGTCACGCATTCAGTTGATTTGGCACAGCCATTATTCAGCACGCGAATACTTGCAGTAGACAGGTACGACCGGTGAAGATCGAACATGGCGTATTGCGCTTGAGGTAAGTCGAATATCAGTGACGTCATATCGTTAGCTAATGTCTTATGACCTAAGTCGGTCTAAACAAACCCATACATAGCTTTGACCAATGACGTCACCCACTAAGTCGAAAACCAGTGACGTCATATTGCTGACTGATGCCTCATGGCCATCAGTCGGTCCAAAAGAGCCCGTAAAAACTCAACCCGTGACGTTGCATACTGCGATGATCCGTCAGAGCAGTGGCGCGCGGTTGATACAAAACGGATGTCAGTGACGTCACAAAGTCGGCTGATGCCTCGCAGCATTTCCCCAGCACGACGGTACACGAACCCTGCAGCAAGCGTAGCTCTTCCCTCCGTTGGTGGTACAGATACGAAAGTAAAAAAGTCCGTTCTTCTAGCCAGTCAACTCCTCACGACATGAACACAACCAACATCAGCTCATAGCTTTGCACTGAACCCACTGCATTACCGCGCGGCGAGCATTTGCACCCATCTGTCTGAAGTCGCACGACGTTTTAAAACGCCGCGTAGCAAACTGATCATATCCATCGCAAGATGCTGTGGCCAGCCACGACGCTTACGACTAGTAATACGCCTTGTGATTCGGTATATTATGCTGTTTAGTATGTGAAGTGGGTCTTGGCCGAAACATCTGAGAAAAGCATTGATCTGAGGGGCATTGGAAAAGCACTGTGTTACCGGTGATCTGTGACGTCAGCGCCGATAAAGTATAATATGTAGTACAGCTCTGTCACCTGCTTAAAGCTATTCTGATTAAAGCTACTATGTTTGACAGCATATTATGGCCCAACTTGCTCATATAGCATACTTGCACGAGTCGTGCCAATGTAGAGGGTTGGCGTTTCTCCGCTGGAATCGATACTCCCCGGCCCTCGGTCGACGGCGACGCAAGCTTGGAAAGTGAAATTTGCGCTGGTATGCAGTAGTGCTTGCCAGATCCACAGGAATACAAGCATGTCTCGCACTTGCTTTAATTGGGGCAGCGTTGTTGAATTTTCACGGTTAACTGAGATCAACTTGGAAGCAGTGTCCTGAACTATTTGAAATCTTGCGCGGCCCTGTAGGGCCTTGCATCTGGTGACGCAGGGGGAGGGGGGGGGGGGGGGGTCGGACCCATACGCATCTAGAGGCTTGCCACTCGCACTGCGGCTGGGTACTCTTCGCAGGCCTCCGCTTGGGCACCGGGCCGCGCGCAGCGGCTTAAGAGGTCAAGGAGCGGCGGCAGTGGACCGCGGTCATGCCAGGGAGTGGTCTCCCCGGCTACATCTGACAATGTGGAAGGTATCGTTCTCCCCGTATAACACCGAGGCAGCCCTGGCAGTGACCAACTCGCGGGACAGTATTGGGCCGTCCCCAGTTTGGCTCCAAGATGGATGGGGAGCTTGGGCGCGGCATACAGAATCGACTGTTTATGGCAACTCAAAACCTCACCCCCCTCTCCAACCCTCACTGAAAGTGTGTGTGTGGGGGGGGGGGACAGACCGTGGCAGTGAGTGACCGCAGTAAATCTGTCACTTCGCCACGAATCTTGATTTTTCGAAGTGACTGAAGCGCTCTTGCATCCCTCTCGTCTTTTCAACGTACAGACGGGTGTGACAGATTTGGTTTCATCCTTACAGGCGAGAGGCTGAGAGGTGGAGGCATCGAAGTCAAACGTGAAAAAAGAGAGCAAGCCCGACAGACGCACTAAAGCGTCCGCTAACGTAATTTAGACAGCTAGTTTTCTCGAGCAGCGGGATTGTAACCAGCGACAATTCATATCTGACGACACATATATCCTGTAAGGTCATATGAATTTTTTCGGGGGACTGGAGAGTCTCCTTAGCAGTTCGGGAAAAATTACAGTGGCACGCTTCCGAGACGATTGCGAACTTCCGGATGACCACGAGATGCTGAAAAGGAAAGGCCGAGACGCCGGGCACGGTCAGGAATGGACAAAAGGTCGCTTAGGATTAACACGGGGCGGCCGACAGGCGAGCTCAGCCATCCGGGGCAGCCAACAAGAGAAAGTCACGAGACTTCCCGATGATAAACGAGGTAGTCAGAGAGTTGTTATAGGGCCTTGGTCAGAAACAGGTCAAGATGTCAGGAAAATGGCGATAGCACTTAACAACGCAGTGTCATAACGTTTAAGTGCCTTCGCATAACCTCAGATCCTTTGGAGACTAATATGAGTGTGAACCAGGGGTGTGGTGTCCTTTTCAGTTCGGGAGGGAGCAGGGGTGAGAAAAGTGCCTTTCCTGTTACCGAACAAATTAAGAACCGTCTTAATTGTCACCTGGAGTCAAATCTTTCAGAAACTGCTGCAATATAGCTCTAATTGCAATAAACCACAAAACAAAGGCAAACTTAATGCACTGCTGCACAACCATCAAACTTTTTTTTGTTCCAGAGGTTCATTTGCACTTAACACCGGCCATCAAACACTGGGGGTTAAGACTAAACCGATCAAATTATCAGATAAAGGCATGCTTAACATAACCAGCCTTGAGGCGTGCATGGTGTCCTATTCAGTTAGGGAGAGAGGACTGTGCCTCCTAACCATGGGTGTAGTTTCCTATTTTAAGGAATCAGTTTTTTGCACTTTTTTCAGTCACCATTGTTAGGATTCAGACCCAAACTAATTTTGAGAAACTACACCCCCGCTCCCAGCACTGGAAAGGAAGTGCGTCAAATCTGTGGGGAAAACTGTTTTAAACGCATTTCAGAGACAGGCTGAGTCCTTTTGTTTCCTGCCCCCTCCCCTTTTCCGTCCCTTCCCGCTACGTATTTTCCAAAGTCGCATCTCTGTAGCCCCACATTTACCAATAAGAGGGTTTTACAAGCACCCGAGAACTTGTGACGTCATCGTACAATTGGCTGGGAGTGTAGGCGATCTTTACTTCTTTCTCCTTATCATTACCGGTGCAGAATTGTCACTTCCATACATGATCCCAATTATTTATTGCAATAGTCATGCAATACTGGTAACAACAGATGCACACGCCACTTTGAACACTTCTGGCACCTTCATTTAGCTTTACATGCAATATGATAGCAATAAAAAACGTATTACCTCACGCGTGTCCACCGATCAGTACGCTATACGAGGTGCAGCTGGCGATGTGAGAGGCTTACATCAGAAGTGTTCAGCCTCTTACCCAAAAGTTGGCGTGCCTCCCAGCAGCAGGAAGCCCTGGATGACTCCTCGACATGTGTCGCTCCAACGTCCCTCGTTTACCTCTGAAGCTACGGCTCCGGTATCCACAAACAACAATCGTCCTAGATCGGCAGGGTTTTTAACATTATTACATTAAGAAGCCGACGGCTAGCTCCATTATTCTAGCCAGTCAGCTTCTCCCATAACGGCCACAGCCAACAGCAGGCCAAAGTGAACCCAGTTCATTACTGCGTGGTGAGCGTTCGAGCCAACCTGCCTCAAATGACTTTCCTTTTTTGGTGGGCCAATGCAAAGCCTCTTTTCTCCTTCGACCGGCTAAACCCGTCTCTGAAGGGAGGGGGGGATAATTACTTCCACCATAAGGCCAGGCAAGGACGACTTTAAACCGGCTTATGCTGTCCGGTGCAAAGCAAGAGAGAGGGCATTGTTGAAGTTACGTTAAGTTAATCTGGCTCATTTTTGTCCAGAGAAATCACAGGAAGCAAAGTAAACCCCAGCGATGGGTATCTTTATTTCACCACTACACAATACGCATTCAATACACTTGAACGATTGGTGAGCCTCCTCACCGGCCCTACCCCCAGACTCCTCAGGTGCACCGAGTCCTTAGTGTCATGTCCGTGACAGCGGTGGCCTTGGCTCAACTGGCATATCGGCAACCTGTGCGATGGATGGATGCCGGGCCGTTTCATCGCAGCAACGGGGAGAGTAGTCCCGGGTTCTGGTGCCCGGCATGACCTTGTGATGTTGTCCCTTGTTTAGTTCTGGAAAGTCCTAAGAAAAACCGGGACACCTAGCTAATCGGAAAAACTCTGCCATTTTTTTGGGTCAAATTATGCAGGAAAAGCCCTTTATCAAATGATTTTAACGACGATTTAAAACGCAGCGTAGCAGACGAATCACGTTCGTCGCAAGATGCTGTGGCCAGCCACGATCCTTTCGACTAGTAATGAACCTACTTTTTTGGTATTTTATACTGTTAAGTATGTGAAGTGAACCTTACCTGAAAGACCTGTGAAAAAACGCTGATCTGAGAGGCGTTGAAAGAGCACTGTGCCGCCGATGATCTGTGACGTCGGCACTGATGTAGTATAGTTTGTAGTACTTTTCTGGCACCCGCTAAAAACTATTCTCATTTAAGCTACTGTGATTGGCGGCACCTTATGTCTCAACTTGCTTATTCAGCGAAACGTCAACGTTTTGACATGTGTTCTACACATGCCTACACTGCACGTCTTAACGCGTACAGACCAATACTAGGCCTTGTGTTTCGTGTAGCTGCAACAGACTGTTGTAATATGGTCTGGTTTTTTGAAATTTGGTTGTATTTTTGCAATTTTGTTATCCGTTGGTTCGCAAAAGTGTCAGTTTCTGTCACTGATCATATCCGGTAAATCAAAACCCTTGGAGCGGGGCTTCAGCCCCTCTCCCCCCCCCCCCCTTCCCCTCAGCTGTGCTTCAGCCGCCCCCGAACTTTGGGAAGAAAGTGGGCAAATTCAGGAAGAAACCGGTGTGTTGGCATATTTTGCGTGCAGGCTCGGGCATTTTTCACTGTCAAACCCCCAACTCATGTTGCGAATCTACGTCCCTGGTGTGCATGTATTGAAGCAAATTGAGTACACACGAGACAAGCAGGAGAACTAGAACCGGACAGGTCAGAAAAGAGCTAGCACGTGATAGAACGGGTCAGGGACGGGGACGAAGGGGATCGGGACGGACAGAAACAAAGTAAAAGACGGCAGAGCAGCATGCCGTCCAGTCCCGGCATGCCAACGTAAAACGGGTCAGGAGATGAAGGACGAGAGACTGGAGAGCAAAACCGCCCGCCATTCTGTCCCAAAAATAGTCTGTGCCATCTTCTTCCCGCTTTCCGTGCTATCTCCTTCCGATTCGATCCTGTGTTACTTCGTCCTGTATCAGTCCCGTCTCGTCCCATTTCTCTCGCCCGAGTTTGTCCCATATCCCGCCCCGATTTTTCCTGCCCCGTCCCAGTTGTCCTGTTCACACAGTCCTGGTCCTGTTCCTACTAGAATTTCGACGCATTGGCTAAAAGCCAGCTCCGACTGCAGCTGGTGTACATCCTCTCATTTTTAGGCCGTGCTTGAACGCGGCTGGGCGTGAGCTTAGGACCTCCAGGCATCGCCCGCAACCGTGCTTGGCCATGTTTTGATGCAGTGACCATATTTATCTACAATGCTTCATGGATTGTAATGTAGCTGTATCCCGTGTTCTGTTAGACACTGCTCTGAAATTTGGGTGGCATTTGCTGATATTAATTCCGCACAACGTGTCAAAATGTGAGGTTCCTGCGTGATCTAAAACAGCTATAGTGACTGCTTTTGAGAAACATGTTTGTATAAACTGGCGCAGGTAACCAAATGGAGACGTTAGACCATGTAGACAGAGCCTCGTGACCGCAGTACAGGGGCCTGGCTTTCTATGGAGACGTTAGACCATGTAGACAGAGCCTCGTGACCGCAGTACAGGGGCCTGGCTTTCTATGGAGACGTTAGACCATGTAGACAGAGCCTCGTGACCGCAGTACAGGGGCCTGGCTTTCTATGGAGACGTTAGACCATGTAGACAGAGCCTCGTGACCGCAGTACAGGGGCCTGGCTTTCTGTGGAGACGTTAGACCATGTAGACAGAGCCTCGTGACCGCAGTACAGGGGCCTGGCTTTCTTGTCTGCAGTTCTGGTACGAGGAGCTATAGACACACGATCTTACGCGAAACTCCGGCGCTGTTGCGAAGAAGCCTGGAAAAAGTGCGCCCCCAGGTCATTCTTGCGATTCTTGTGTGAAAGAGCCGTGTTCTCGGTACTGGCTGGCACAGGACCCATCATGAATCCAGACAAAACACGAAGACCTGCTGCGTCTGTTTCTTGGTTTTAACCGGTCATTGACTGGGCCCCTCACCGGTCATTGGTCACTGACTGGCGGAGACAGATATTCCTATGCCGTTACCCAAGAACAAGCAACCAGAAGTGCCCCTCCCTCTATCCCAGCGACGCACTGATCCGTACGTGAACACCAGAAATATAAAATCAGGTTGCGGCACCCCCAGATAAGAACAAACAGACATAAATAAGTGGACGAAGAGGTTGTGCAGACCCGGCAGGATCCGTGTTACACAATAGGCGAGGACAAATCATTCAGCAGAAGGCTTAAAGTAGTCATAGCCAAAGTCAGCTCATGACAACCAGCTAGAACCACCCAATCAACAGTTACCACACATTCGCAGTGTTAGTTAAGGTTGCCAATCACACAAGTTGAAGGGCCAATGGCCAGAGAGTCTGCGCACCAAAGCCAACGCCATGAATTTGGGTACAAGTATAGGGTATGGCTATATAGGAACGTTATTATGGGATATGAAGGAGATTAAGTATGGAGTGAGTTGCGTACCTACAGGACAAAAAATAAATATCTTCAAATGTGTTTATGTGTTTGCAAAATGTCTGCGCTGATCAAATCACTGAAGTGATTTGACCATCCCCACTCCTTATCTCAAGAATGGCCGCGCCGAATGACAAATGTTAAGTCTGTGCCATTCTGCCCCACCTCTGTCTTCCGGCGCCCTCCCGCACGTGTCCGCGTCTCAGGTCAGAGTGTATTTCCTCCGCGAGCCGGTCACACGGGTCACCGCCCCAGGCGTCCGGCCGCCAAGGCGGGTCCAGGGGCGCTAACACTGGGCCCTGCACGCCACACAGATTCAAATTGCTATCGTCAGCGTCGTGACATGCAGTCTCAAACCACACAACAAACATATGTTTTAGTGTATATTAACGTCACAGGTTAAGGTCAAATTCATAAAATGCTGCTTTGGAATATCTGACCATCCCACGACGCATTTAATTTAAGAGCGTATCTCATGGCGGGAAATCATTACGCCCTGATCAAGCATGATACATAGGAAGGCGCCCAATGTTACGCGTCCCGTACCAAGCCTAGATCTAAGGTCACGTGTGGCGCAATTGAGAGCTAAATCTTGGGCTTTATATCAATTTCGGTTCTATTCATTTTCGTCATATCTGAGCCATCTAAACGCGAAGCGGGAGCACTTAGCCGCAGTTATGTGTATCAGCCACGCGAGCAAGAACTGTTACTTCTTCACAAACCGCCTAAGAGCAAGGTCAGATGGATAACCCCGTGGTGAATAAGTGGTTGGGTCGATTTTCGCGATGATTTGGGCCTCTCACGGCGGCAGGCATGACACTTTACTACTTCTGTTAGTAACAGACTGGCGACTGCTTTGTACAACCACATTACCGGGTGTTACCGACACGCCTACCACCCAGGTGCTACATGGGACTGGTCTCTCCTGACCCCCTTCTACCACGCTTAGAACACCATTACCAGGCTTGCACGACCCCTCTGCAGTTTCACAAACTAACTCTGTATCATCCCCTTAGTTTTACCTACCAGAGGGCAAACCACCCCTGTACCATCCACGTACCACTCTCACGACAAGGGCATACCAGCCTGTTACCAACACCATACCACTGTCTCTCCATCTGGATCGGTCACCGGTCAGCTTTATATATTAAACTCAAACTATCTTAAACCCCCACTGTCTCTCCATCTGGATCGTTCGCCCGCCAGCTTTATATCTTAAGCGAACGAAGCGAACAAAGCGAACAAACGATTGCAGTGTTATTCATGTTCAACTACACAACGGTTTTCCAATGGCTTATCGTCACACGGCATCGAACAATAACTGAGGGTCGACAGTCGATGTCCCCCCCCCCCCCCCAGGCATGACTCTCCTTGTTCTTATACATCCAGCGCAATTAGATTCAGGACGATTTTATCGCGAGAACACAACGGCGCTGCCAGGGAACCACGTTCCCCACGAGACAGCGCAGAGGACCAAACGCGCTGCAGAGACCCACAGAGCAATACCGCGGTCGTCATACACCAACCAACTTGAAGCCGCCTTCGGATTCAAGACGCGCAGGCTGTTTCTAATCGGCCGCTATGCCTCAGAACAAATAAGATCGGCTTCTTTAGGTGTGCGCTACCATATATATATATATATATATATATATATATATATATATATATATATATATATATATATATATATATATATATATATATATATATATATGTACATATATATATATATATATATATATATATATATATATATATATATATATATATATATATATATATACATATATATATATATATATATATATATATATATATATATATATATATATATATATATATATTATATATATATATATATATATATATATATATATATATATATATATATATATATATATATATATATATATATATATATAGGTAGATACATATAGAGTAGATAGGTACATATCACATGCACATACCCCTCTCTCTCTCTCTCTCTCTCTCTCTCTCTTTCTCTCTCTCCCTCACACACACACACACTTCTCTCTCTCTCTCTCGCTTCTCTCTCTCTCTCTCTCCTTCTCTCTCTCCTCTCTCTCTCTCTCTCTCTCTCTCTCTCTCTCTCTCTCTCTCTCTCACTCTCTCTCTCTCTCTCTCTCTCTCTCTCTCTCCTCTCTCTCTCTCTCTCTCTCTCTCTCTCTCTCTCTCTCTCTCTCTCTCTCTCTCTCTCTCTCTCTTCTCTCTCTCTCTTCTCCTCTCTCTCTCTCCTCTCTCCTCTCTCTCTCTCTCTCTCCTCTCTCTCTCTCTCTCTCTCTCTCTCTCTCTCTCTCTCTCTTCTCTCTCTCTCTCTCTCTTCTCTCTATATCTCTCTCTCTCTCTCTCTCTCTCTCTCTCTCTCTCTCTCTCTCTTCCTCTCTCTCTCTCTCCCTCTATCCTCTCTCTCTCTCTCTCTCTCTCTCTCTCCTCTCTCTTATATATCTCGTCTCTCTCTCTCTTCTCCTATCTCTCTATCTCTCTCTCGCTCTCTCTCTCTCTCTCTCTCTCCTCTCTCTCTCTCTCTCTCTCTCTCCTTCTCTCTCTCTCCTCTCTCTGCAGGTCAGAGTGGATCCTAAAAAGGTCAGAATGAGCCCTTTAGGGGTCAGAATAAACTATAAAAGCTTACACAACCCGTTTGCAGTTCAGAATCGCTTGCCATTCCAGGATGGGCCAGCCACAGGGCCTCTAAGTTGGGGGAGAGAAAGCGTGATGCCTGCACTGCCTCCCCCCCCCCCCCGTTCCTTCGCCCTTGGGCAAAACAAAATCCTTTTTAAAAAGAGGGCAAAGACATGGGTTAGATGAGGTGAGTGGGTCAGGACGAACCGTGTCTATGCAGCGCACGTTTTCCTTTCGCTACAGAGTTCTGTCCATGAGCGTGGATGTGACGACCGGATGATGGAGGGGTCACGAACCACACAAACACCAACGTGGGCTCCGTGGGTTCTGACCTCAGGGGGGCAGGTAACCTTCATGAGGACTGTGATATATTTTTTGTACTTAAAACGTAAAATTATATATGTCGACAGATCGTATTGCTGGCCGCGTGATGCAGTCTGGGGAAGACTTCTCATACAGATGGTTTTGTGCAAATGGAACGTTCAAGGGTAACCACGCACCCTTTGTATACGACTGAAAAAATTAAGTCACTAAGACCTGAGGGAAAATAATAATTTGGGACAGATTAGGCCGTCCTTAACAATGCCAATGTGCTTGTTAGTAAAGCCAGGGTACTCTGGGGCCGCTAGGAGGCGCGGCTAACGACACAGAATCCAAATATGTCAAGCATTTCGATATCGTAAGATCACGTACCTGAAATGTGAAGTGACACATTGCCGTCTTTAACTGTGCTGTAAAATAGGTATAAAATATGCTCTTTTTCCCCCAGTGCATGTAACCAAATTTTCAAGATGTTTTGGCATCTCAACTACCAGTTAAGTTTCGCGTTTGATAGATGCACATGATTGCAAATGACAAAGCGAGGTACCAGCGTAGCCGGTAACTCCCATCCCCCCGAACACAGGCCTGGGTATGTGCATATCCCAACCACAACGGCATACGACTTACCACGGTTTCCGCCGGTTCCTCTGTTGGCACGCTTTCTAGATCGTCTTAAGATGCGGAGCACTTCAGATATCAGTGACGCAGTGTCCTTCGATAGTCTTATCAGTGACACAGTGTCCTTCGATAGTCTTATCAGTGACACAGTGTCCTTCGACTGTCTTATGACACCCAAAATGGCGTCCCCGACGCCCAGGAAACCAAAATGAGCACATGACGCTCCGCAATAGCTGTAGTAAATTCAACCATCGCATTTATTGAGACCATTTATACCTGATGCACTCGCGCTCAAATAGCATAGTTGACTAAAGGTTTGAAGCATTGGCAAATGGTCATCGACATGGACATTGGCGTGGCACGGATCAAAGATAACATTCGCGCTCACCAGGTATGAACATTGCAATGTTGGCGAGACGGGCCAGGTGAAGGGCGGAAATAGACGCTCTGTTGGGAGCACGATTTGTGAAGAATAATGAACACGCGTGGTAGCCAGGACCACAATCGCATTGCCATTTTACCAGCAGAGGACAACATCAGCATCGTGTACACGTCGCCGAGGTCGGCTTGGGCATGATACTGACAACTAACGATGCAGCCATTCTATCAGTTTGGCCAAGCATTTTCCACCCGTGTTTGATTAGTGGGAGGGTAGTCAGACGCCAGTCAACTCAGGATAGACAGGTGAAATGGTGGTAAGAGGGTAGAACAATTTCTTTTCAGTGCTAACATGCTATGCTTACCTTGAAAAATGTCGTCACTTCTTTAACTATAACCCGACACAATACTCTCCAGTGGCGCGCATCACTAAGCAAGTCTACAATCTATCACTGATGACACTAAATGAGTTATTATCCAGCCCCGAGACAATAGAGTTGACCAGTCGTGTCGGTATCACATCGTTAAGCAGCCAGCATCAGGTATCGCATGACAGTTTAACTTCGCTCTTCAGCACCACAGCCAATCGACGTGTTGCGGTGGTCGGCACTTCGGCGGACATTTTCTGATGTAGAAAAGCCAGTCCTCTCGGGTGACGCGCTCTCGCTCAAAGTCTCTGAGAAGCACACGATCGCCGACAAAGTGCGGGAACGTGCCAAGGTCCCTGCGACTGGGGAACGGTCGGAACGCGCCGAACTGGCCGCAGAAGTAGCTGTCGTGTTCGAGTACGTCTCCGGCGGCGGCGGCTGGCCGGTACACCAGCCCTTCGAGCCGCACCTGATCCTCTCCCCAGCGAAATGCCTTGTGCTCAACGTCGGAATCGGCCACTAAACGTTCGTGAAATGGCCGGTAGATGTCGCTGCGTTTATTCCAGGCTCCCCAGGCGCCGGCCAGGATGCTGACAGCATGCAGGGGGTGATCTCTGATGACATGGATGGTTTTCCCCGACTCGATCCACTCTTGCACGGCGTCTCTTTCCCTCTGCAACAGACCGCACCGTATCACACCACTCCGTTCGGCCTTATGACATCGTGCCCAGCAACGCCTGCAGGTAGTCAGCAGCAGGACTTCGTTCTTGCCGGGGGGGCAATGAAGTTTCGTTCCCATAGCTCCAGGAACGACGGACTTTCCGATCCGAAAGTAATTAATGCATCTTACGCTGAATCATGGAATCACCTCCTACGATCAGGCATCGTGTTTCCCGGGATCTAATTCTTCAGGTAGGCGCAGAACAGAGCGCTGATATCCCTACTGTGACCTTGGTACCAAATGGATACGGACCATTTCCCTCAAAGAAATTGTGGGAGGAAAATAGCCTGATCATTCACCAGTCATGGCTATATTTTGGTTGAAAATGTCCTAACATCGTCTCCGCACAGCCGATGTACCTCTGACGGCGGATATAACATCGCCCCCGCACAGCCGATGTACCTCTGACGGCGGATATAGCCGGCTGGCTGCAGCTGGCCTGATTATCGCCACTGCATTGTGGCATGATGACGTCAGCCGCAGGCCCATATCCGGGAGTATCCACATCCCCGCCGAGCACTGGGGGGGGGGGGGGGGGGGGGGGGGGATGAGGGGGGACAGGGAACTGGCAGCTCTACCGGCCAGTTCCCTGAACCTATAAGCTAAGGGCGGCCGCTATGGGCTCACCGCTGACGGCCACGTCTGTGCTACAATTAGAACAAACACCCATGCTTAGTTGGACTATTACTGGAGTGGATGCTCATTTGGAGAGACTCGGATACTCCAGGCCGTAGAATTAAAGCGAAATAGAGCGCAGACAATCGAACGGCAAAAATATGGTACGGTTAAACGGAACTCAACGGCTTACAAACGCGATGTTAAAATATAGCTTCTTTTCGGCAAGGGCAATGCGATGCACAATCTGTACAGTGCGACCCATCGTCAATAGTGATCCATTACCACCGACTGGCGAGGGAATGGGCCGTTGAAATGCTTGCTTGACCTTACCTGATGTCGCATGACGACATTCGCGCATTACAATTTGCATGATACGACGTGTCTTTGCAAGCAGGCAATGTATGCAAATGTGCAATGTGTATTGCATCAAACACAGCTCAGCGGACCAAGAACAGTTCAACGTTAACACGCGCCAGGGTAAGTACTTGAATGCGACGCATTCGGGTAGGGGTGGGATCAATTTGGCTCCCCGCGATATCAAAAGGTAGGAGGGCTGGAGACATTAAAGTCACAGGGTGCGTAGGCATGTATGTGCACTCATTTCATTCACTCACTGTACACACTCACAACAGACTCTCACCCTGACTGAAAATCGTGCTCAGAGACACGCGATCTGAACGGCACGACGATAATATCTGTACAGCCCATACAGACCGCATGGCCAACGATTGGTAAGATTTGAATGACGACCATGCATGCGACCTTACCAGCCATATTTAGATGTTGGTTTTACCAAAAGATTGCAATACTATTTCCTACAGCCGTATACAGTTAAAGCGTGTACGCCGTGCCGTTCGGAAATTCTTCTGGAAACCTCTGAGAGTCTGGGAGGGAGGGGAAACAGCTCGGCCCCCCACCGGAGCGCGCATTTTATAATTATTGGTAGGACGCCATGTACGGCGCAGGACGAGCGAGGCCATGATAGATGTGCAGGAGGCGCACTAATGTAAAACTCGCATGCCGGTTCGCAAATAACAGTGCTTAAGAAATGTCTGACTACGCGTGTGGTCAAATCCGAAATCTTTATTAATGATGGCGGTGAATTTGCAATGATGTTCGGTTGTGACAAAAGTGCACAAAGTGTTGAAAGAACGTAAACATTTTAGCTGGACACTCCTATTCTGCGATCCAAGCCCCGCGTCTCAGATTCACAAATTACTTCGAAACAGTTGACGCAGACCGATTTTTGGTCCATTATTGCCTCACCTGTAGACCTAATGGGTTCGAGATCCGTTAGCGAGAATGCTTTTTCCCAAACAGGACGGACGGGGGTGCTTCAACCGCCCAACTTTGAGAGAAAAGTGGGCTAAATCGTGGAAGAAACCCGGTTGTCAGTGAACTTCGCGGGAAGATTTTGTAATTTGTCATGGTTTAGCTTTTCCCCTTCCGACTCCCTTTGCGAATCTACACCCCCTGAGCCGCAGCCGACACATTTGCCTACACCGTGAAGTTGGCTTCAAGTCTTCATCTGCTCTGGCTGAGACCTGATGCAATCCTTTAACCGATGCAGCTAGGTTGACCTGCGGGATCTGACAGGGAGGGGGAAGGGGATCTAACGGGGTATCTGCGGTCTGCGCACGAGAGCTCGGGACAGTCTACACACACTAACACACACCTTGCCAAACGGTTGTCCTTTTTATCCCATGAGAATCCATTAGTGACGTGTGCATTAGTGCTGAGTGCCGTGTTGTTGCAAAATCGGGTCGTCAAGATCTGACCTATTTTTGACCTGCAGTCTTCGACGATTTTCGCATTTCAAAACCTTACATTTTCAATACTAATCAAGGAGGGAGAGCCAAAATCGTGGTGATATTAAATTGTTTATAAAACCGGCCTGGTCAACAGATGGCATGCCAATACTAATAGTTAACATAGCAGAATTTTGGAAGGACCGTGCTTCTTATTGGTGAAAAATGGATGAATTCGCTGGCGGTGGCTGCAAAAATATTTGCTACTTAGAAGCGACAGCCGGACAGCGCCGGGCCACATTGTCCTATAGTTCAAGTAACACTCATCCGTCGCGCGTGACGAGGGAAAGTGGAGGCTGGGACAGTCTTTCACGGACAGTAGTAGGTTTTCAGCTTGAGCAATCCGGCTCGAACAGCCTCGGCTGTCACGCTCTCGGCAGACTACCGTGCTAGCAGCCAGTGATAACTTCGGTAGGTAGCTTTCAGGAACAACAGGCCTGGCTGCTTACAACATGTCGTTTACAACACAAAGCAATCGCAGTCATTTTATCAGATCAACCGTATTCCTGCACCATTGCAGTGGGATTCAAATTTACCTGCCCCATTCGGTTGGAGTGTAAAACGCATAGCTAAAAAAATTGGGGAAAAGCTGAATAGCACTCATTGAAGCTGAGCCTAAGTCTCGACATCAGAGGTCGCAACCACGCGGGATTAACACATTTTGATTGCGAAATTGGCGAGTATTTATATCGCGCGCTGTATCATGTACTATATATCGAAGTTGGCGCGCTGTATCAGGTACTATATTGGTAATCAGATCACAATATGTGCGTCGCTACACAAACTAAGGCGTGTGCACTCGAGCGTAAATCATTGATTCGCCGATTGAGTATGTAGATCATATTGATACTAACGTCACATGTCAGTCACCAAAGCATGCAAAACATTGCTGCCAACTGCACAATGTGAATAAATGTGCCATATCAAACATCCTCCAGACAGCTCAGCACTGCGCACCCTATAGAGATGCCAGCAATCGACCAAGAAGCAGCCAACGTCGCCTTTTCACCGATTTCGTGGCACGACATAGCGAGTCCTGGGCCGACTTACCGCCGGCCACTTCTCAGCCAAACTATATGTAAGTTAACGCGTGAATCAAGCGTTATCACTAGCCTACTTCGTGTTCCTAAAAGACGGAAATGTCGATAGACCAATGAGGCTCATTTCATGCTTTTTAAGTGGCCTCGTCTCATCTGCTTATGTTCTGCATAATCTGCATCTTCTTTCGTTCTTCCATCTTCGTTCATACATCATGGCAACACTTGTTTCTGTTATCGCCTTCGCATCCCACTGTTACGTTTGCGTCGTTTTGGTTCAGGCTGTAAATATAGCTACGCCCAAAGTTTTACACTGAAAAAGCAACTGCGCAAGGTTTTCCAAATGACCGGTGCCTTTCGATCAACCCTGACGGCCAGAAAATGTGGGCGGAGCACCGTGCATGACCATCGCATGCACCTGGGCGAGGCAGCAAGTGAAAGTAGCGACGCCTCACGCGACCGCAAGCGAACTGTGACACTTGTGACCTCCGGCTCGCCAGACTTGGGACCAGGGGGCGCACGTCCATACTGTACGTAGTCGGGGCCAGTGATGGGGCCAGGGTCGACCTGTGCCCGTGTATGTGCAGGCACATCCCCGGCATGTCTACCGCGAGGGCCGGGAGCTGTAGTGGTGCCAAGCCCTCTTACCGGACACGTGCTCTAGTAACACATGACAGTATTGGCAATGTGTATGTTTATAACGATGTATGCATGATGACAACATCTTGAAGTGCATAATAATGAACATATATATATATATATATATATATATATATATATATTTATTTATTTATACATATGTAAAATATATAACATATATGCATATATATGTTATGCATCTTTCACACCCACTTCCTTGACATTATCCATTTGTCTCTAGCCTCTATCACATGTGATCCAGCTGCAGCTATGCACTTGACTATTCACCGCATGCGGTGCGAGATGCTCACCTGGCCTATCAGCGAGTCAAGGTCACGACTGATGAACCGCTCCACGGCTGGGTCAGTCAGCGGCAGAAAACGCCACAGCACGCCCGGCTGGCTCGCCAGCTGAGCCGCTCCACTCACTTCACAGAAGTCCAGGTGTGTGTACCTGAAAACAAAGGCCTCGACGTGGGCGCATGTCCAGAGTCGCTGTAAAGTCAAGCAGTGACACGGTGCAGCATGACGGCGAGCCGCTCCTAACATAACCTGGGTCTGGTGTGTTAATGCCGATGCCAATTTTCACCGTTTTCAATTTAGCCAGGCAGTTTTTTTAGCCTCGGTCTGCTTATGCAGTGACTTAAGGAAAGACTTGTATTTATACAAGGTCACTAGGCCCGTCATGTGAAATGCATGCCTTGTCTCGCTGCAGATGCAAGGATGGCAAGCCCAGGAACGGACAAAGACGATCGATTAAAACGTCAGCGTACATAAGCATTAATACCTCGCCATGTGCAGATGCATAATGGATACCCGGAACGGCACGTGATGCCCGTCTGCCACAGTACTAAGAAACCAAAACCAGCTGCGTGAACCAAAGTTTGGGTCACTTCCACATGCTAAATTTGTCCCCATTGTCCTGTGTCATTTTCAGAGCGCTCTGTGTGCCTGGCGAAGTATTTGACACCGTTTGAGACTAATGCACCCCATTTGCCGAGGCCACATAATAGTGAAGGCCGCTTGGTATGTTTTGAGGTAGTGATCGTCGTAGGGCCTACCTACTTTCTTTGCAGTTTTGGTATCTCTGACAACTGTAATGGTTGTTAAACACCTCAACGTAGCTTTCAAACAGCGGGAAACGGCCAAGGGCTAATTCTGGAAACCGTTGACGAGATGTCTTTGTGGAGGATGAAAAGCATTCCGGGAACTCCCGACACATCATGGAGCCTCCAGCTGCCTTCGTCCTCCAGCGTTTCCATGTAGCCTGACCGGTTCACCGGACCTTGACTGCGTTCAGACCCGTGGTGAATAATCGTGAAGTCTCGTGCCTTTCGCTCTTTGGCTGCTCCGGACGGCTGGGCTCGCCTGTCGGCCGCCCGTGTCAACCCTCAGCGACCTTGTGTTCACTCCTGACCAGGCGCGGCGTCTTGGCCTTCGCTATACAGTATCTAGCGGACACCCTGACACCGTAAGTTCGCGATCGTTTCGGAGGCATTCCACTATAGACTCTTCATCGAACTGCTATGGAGACTCTCGCAGTCCCCATAAATGCTGTTAGCATAAGACAGTATTTCAAGCCCATTCGTTGTCGAGAAAGCAGAAGAAAGGATATATATATATATATATATATATATATACAATATTTATATGTACGTATATATATATATATACCATATTTATATGTACGTATATATATATATATATATATATATATATATATATATATATATATATATATATGTTTCGACCGCATTCATTTATCAAAACGATTATGAGTCTCACGGTGATTACTCATATGGCGCTATGAGTGTTATGTCAGACTCATAATCGTTTTGATAAAGGCACGCTGAAATATTAGTACAGCAATCTCTCCCTTCCTGTTTATGCGATCAGAAATAAGGCTAAAAGTGCTGTCTTATGTAAGTTCGGAATATTGCCCGTAAATGTGCTTAACAACCTCCGTAAATGTCTTTTCATATGATTTTATAGGACTGATATGTCGTCAAGCAGGGACTGGCTCTAATCAAAACCCAACTACATGAGAACGGTAATCATTGAAACCACGCACATTTTACAGACATGAGGTTATCTAACAAATCTTTAGGGCACAACATTCTAAAACTGGCATCTGTCAAGAGATTGCATGCCAGAAAGTGCGTGGGTATCGCAAACGCAGTGTAACCGATAGATCAATGACAAAGGATGAACGGGGTAAAAATAGTTCCAAAAAAAGACAGTGCATTATTAATTATATCCAGTGACGGTTGATTGCCATCTTTATCTCGCACAGTCCCATGGTAAAAAAGCTAGCATGCTCACTCACTATCCACCTTTTATTGCGCGATTCTACACGCAATATGCATCATTTATACGCTCCTTTCCGGCACATTTTTGCTATGAAAACTGCTTCGACAGTTTTCCACACAACTTTCATGAGATGCTTTGACATGTTGCATGTCCCACACAACATTTTGAATTCAATATGAAGCACCAACATCGTCTAAAACTCCCTTGTAAGGCTGCAGCGGATAACGGCCTGCTGCAAATATGCTCCCGCCAACAAAATCGCCTGCTAGCCGACCGTAACCCCGATAGACGTGCGCGCTTGGAGGGGTCTCTGTGGGCGGCCATGGTGCGGCTGGAGGGGTCTCGGGTGGCAGCCGTGGTGTGGTTGGTACAGCGGCATCCTGCAATGTTAGCCGTCGATGTGCCGGCATTTTGTATCGTCTCTGCTAAGGATGAATAAAAGAGAGCACATATGCTGTGCCCGTGCGTACATCGGTTCACTAGGGATCCGTCACCTTTCACCGCCCTTTGTTGGCCGAAGGTACCCAGAGAGAAGAAAAGAGAAGCTGTCTGCCCAACATCTGTGCTGGCTGCCCAACAATGTCGCGAATGGTATCGGGCCTAAACGCCTCGCTAAGTGCCAGTGGCTCTCTTTTGAACAAGAACGTTGGGCTACCAGCCGACTCTAAAACAGGGACGTGTTCTAACAGCAATAGTGATGAGTCTACGTTTTTATCAAAGTTAAAATATGGAGCAAAGCGCTTCATTTCTCTCAAACTTTTAATCATGCATGGCAAAGTCGGATTGTTGCAAATATCCTGCAACTAACGCCTATTACCGCTCCCTTGAGGTCTTGTACAAGTAAGGTGTACACCGGTTGCGAGACTGGATTGAAAGGATTTGATTGATGACGTGATCGATGGATTAGATTTGATTGGAGTGATGGTTGACAAGGGGACTGGGATGGATACAACTGGATTGGAATTCTAGCCGTCAACTGGCTGGGCCCCATCAAAATGGCGCAGTGCAAAGTCGTTTTTGGATTCCACATATGCCAGTCGAGGCCGTTTCTCACCCTGTAGCGACTTGCAGTCACAAGGGAGGTTGTATGACAAAAGGAGGTGGATCTGCTGCAGGAGTCCGCGTGCAGCGGGTCCCTGCTGGTGCGGGCAGGTGGCGTGCTCACGTGCGCTGTGTACTGACATGCTGGTGCGGGCAGGTGGCCTGCTCACGTGCGCTGTATACTGACCTGCTGGTGCGGGCATGTAGCGTGCTCACGTGCGCTGTGCACTAACCTGCTGGTGCGGGCAGGTAGCGTGCTCACGTGCGCTGTGTACTAACCTGCTGGCGCCAGCAGGTAGCGTGCTCACGTGCGCTGTGTACTGACCTGCTGGTGCGGGCAGGTAGCGTGCTCACGGTTGCTCTGCACTGACCTGCAGGCCAGCGGACAGAGGCTGGGCAGCAGCAGACCATCCGGGTCAGAGTAGTACACTCGCATCACCCAGCCGGGATAGACGCGCGTCATGCGCGCGGCGTTCGCCGCAATACCGGCGAAGTACGCGCCGTCGACGCCTCCGAACCAGCTGAACGAGACGACCCATTGGTCTGGTCCACGCAGCGTGGCGAATCCGGCGCAGGTAGAGACGACGCGGCGCGCGCCACTCGGCAGGGGCCTCTGGCACGTGCAGCCGGTCAGGGGGACGGCAGCGCTCGGCAGGGCCCCGGCCGCCAGCCCGTCGTCCTGCTGGTCGCCCGCGCTCCGCAGCAGGAGCCCGGTGGCCGTCAGTAGAGTCGCTCCAGCCAGCAAGGTCAGGCGGCGAACGCGGCGCATAGCAGTGCCGGCCGACCGGGCCGCGGGCCGTCAGCGGGCCCACTGGCGGCTGGCAGAGGGCGCCGCCCGACGGGGACTGCAGCCCCAAGCGCCGCCCACTGCGCTGACGGGCCCGGCTCGACGACAAATGCTGTGCGGCGGCGGCCAGGGTCGCGGCGCGGGTCCGGCATACAGCAGCACGAGAACTCGACCGCCTAGGGGGCTTCATGTCGGCCTGGCTTTATGTCAAGTGGTACATGTGATCCGCGCTTGCAGGTGTGCTAGCAACGTGCACAGCATATGTCACGCTTCCCAGGACGTAAGCTGGAATGGCTGCGTCACCGGTGATTGGAGTCACGTTTTCACGCAGCGTTTGGTTGCTTCAGAAAAGGACTTCACAGCTGCGATGAATCCAGGGGTACCCATATGGAATGGGCGACGGGATGGACTGGTTAAAGATGCGATGGGTTGGGTACAGATCTGCGGAAAATTACGGGTATGGTTGCAGGAATGACGTTTATGGGATGCTCGGCGTTTGTCATTGGGGCTTTATGACGCATTCAGCAACTGATGCCATATGATGTCCTTTTCACCCTGGTAGGAGAGCGGGCACTGTGGGGAATCGAACTCCGTCCCTCTTGTTTCCCAGATTTGCGGCTTAAGGGGACTGCTCCACACCAGAAAATATTTGGGCAAGCATCAAGTATGATGGAAAAGGCCCATTGGTGACCACTGGTATTTCTAAATGCAACAGACCGCTCAAAATAATACAATTTCACACCCTGGTAAAAATGGTGCTTATTGCGTTATCGCTTGATTACGTCATGTAACGCTTTTATGAACTCGGATTCGCTGTCAGAGTTGCCGGGTCAGAACTGCCTCTGTAGCGGATGGCGTGACCCACTTATGGCACTTCTATGCCCCGCAAGGTGGCTTTGTTGATTTATGCGCGTAAGTTTAACACGCGCTCGGGTGGGGGGATGGGCTGGTTAAAGATAAAATGGGCTGGTAAAAACCTTTAGGGGGTCAAATTGACCCCCAAAGGTTTTTCCAGAATGGTTTCCGAACGGCGAAGCGTAGCCGCGCCAAATTTTGCCTAGCTGTAGACAATTGCATAGCGGATCATTGACGTAAGAAAATTTAGACGTACCCTGTAAGATCGCTGACCTATGGCAGGTCAAAGTCGCGCCATGGTTTCAGCGAAGGCAATTCCTATGGAATCGTTTAATCTGATACGACAACGGAGTGTTTGGCGAAGCCATACATGTCTGAGATGCTTTCTTTGGCACCACAAACCTTGAATGAGCAAATTAAGTTGACCTAAGGTCAGGTATGAAGGCCAGACCGGGGTCAAAACCAACCTAATTTTTTACTCTGGGGCTTGCTGTATGGGATAGTTTCTGGTCCTCATTTCGAATTTGTTGATATCAGGAACCGCATTATACATCTTTCATTAACCTCTTAAAAGTCAGAACAGGTCATTGACCCAAGATGACCGGGGTCGACATTTTGTTTTAGGAACATACTGCCCAGCGTTATCTTTGTCGCTTATTCAAATGCAAAACTCAGAGCAGTCTTGTATGATTTTGGTCACCATAACCTTCAATAGGTCAAGCAAGGTCACTGACCCCAAATAGGCTTGTGACCTTTGCTTAGAGACAGTTGCCTAGGGTCTTGGGGTCCTTTGGAGACCAACCTGGAACTTGTCCTTGTTTGACCTTATTTCACCTAAAGGTCATAACCTAGGAAGCTCAAACTTAGACTAAAGTGAGTTCACGTACAGGTCAAGACATCATGTAAATTTGGTGTCTCTAGTTTTCTTAGTTCCCGATATCTCAGGGGGGTCAAATTGACCACCGCCCGAGCGAAGGGTATCTAGCCGGCCACCCGGGCGCGTGTTAACGTACGAGCACATGTGCGCGTGTTTGGGTCTTTTCTCATCCCACTGTATATTTTTCCATGATGATATCTTCCTAACTCGCGTAGGAATTGCATTCCATTATCAACCTCTTGTCTGGCATAGTTATGTAATTGTCCAAATGTCTGTGCTAGTCATGGCGAAACATGGTTCGCGTTCCGACATCTGCCCTGATGTTCCCTTTCCTGCTTTATTATGCATCCTCGCAACGCTCCGCTTGTCCGAAGCAGGCTGCATGCACCAACCACGAGTGGGCCGGGGGCCCCTAGTGGAGCCCCCGTCCAAGGTCCAAGTGCACAACCCGCAGAGGAGTCACTGCTCGGGATTAGACTCGGCGGTTGGGTCCCCAAGTGCATATAGCTCCGTCCTATAGTCTTCCCTTCTCTTTAATTGCACAGCCCTCAATTAGTCATTATTGCCTGAAAAGGCTCTAATCCAAATAACCAATCGTGTTCGAGATTCTCCCATCGCACCTGGTTCTTGCTTTATCTGGCTTCCTCGCGACACCCGTTTGTCCGGAGCAGGCTACCTGACTAACCGTAAGTGAGCTGAGGTCCCCCATGGCGCGGCCCCGTCCGAGCGCCGAGCACATACTTCGTGCAGGGGTCACTGTGTGGGACATGTCTCGGCGGATGAAACCCCAGATACACGTCGTTTCACTGCACAATTATTCACTCTCGTTTATCCCGTAGCCCTGGAGTGGTCACTACTGGCCGAAATGGCTGTAATCCGAGCTAAGCCGAACCAAAAGCGTTCAAGACATGCAATCAGCAGCATCAAATCTAAGGCACCAAAGTGCCTTATATCTTCAGGACATCTGGTGCTGCATCATTTTAAATTTGAAAATACGAATGCCTAGTAGCCATGCTTCTCTTGACCGTGGGCACAAACCAGCCATTGAGGTGAGTGGTCAAGTGGCGTTCTCATGACATCATGCATGTCTGGCAACTTTTCCGCAGGCACCGCGGCACAGGCTGCACAAGTTCACGTGCTCATGCTTAGAAACAAGGGGATTAGAAGTCTTAAAGGGATGTTTCACAGTTGAAGATATGAAAGCAAGCATCAAATGTAATGAAATAAACTCACTTATGACCATTGGTGTACTTAAAGTAGAAGAAGCCGCTGCAGATAGCACAGTTTATCTGTCTATTAAATGTGCTCCTCTATTCGTCAAATAGGTGAGACGGTACAGTTAACCTTATTCCTCGTAGAGCAACAAGAAGAGTGGAGAGATTCATGCATTGATATTTTACCTACATGCCTTTATCGAAATGAATATCAGTAGTAACTAAAAATTGCCCACCAATCCAGCTCAATTTTTCGGTTTTTCTAACAGAGAGCCACAGTTTTTACAGGTGGCCAACATTTAGTGGATGAAACAAGGAGCTATCACTACAATGCGGTGTAACCATTACTACAATACGTGGTAAATACAACCAAGAATTAAAAGACACATAAATACATGGGCATGCGAAAGAATTCAAGCAAACAGGCATCACATATCATGCATCATTCATACATACAAGCGATTTCCAGTAAACGATCATTACGCATCACGTATCACTTATGCATGCAAACTCAACTAGATGGGCATCGCGTATCCTGCGTCAGGCATTACCCATACATGTGAGCCATTTTAGGCAAGCCGCATCACACATCAATGTACTAGTCACATGTGCATAATCGACCATGATGGACCCTGAGCACTACGCCACGTAGCCTCAGTAGCTGAGAGTGTCGTAAAGCCCGAATGACGACAAGCCCTGTACGTTAAGGCCTGATCGTCGACTTCTTATTGCAATGGATTCACTTATTTTCCTGTCTGGATGGTCCCGTGGCCTGTATTGATTACGTACGTCACTGTTTGATACAATGCGACACTGTTTGATGTCGTCATCGTATCTTGCACAACATTGCATATATATCTGGAAGTCGTGCTCACAAGCGAGCGAATATCAACCAATCGACCATCATACCTTCCTTGGCCTTGATCGCTGCACAGACGATGGAATGGCAGGATTTGAACGACGGTCGTATTCCGTCATGAATACTTGGATGACCTTGAAATAGCCTCCCTCAAAAAGTCTGCACATCCTGGCGAGCGTATAGCTCAGAAACTAGGTGGGCTTCGGTTTGAAGAAGGACAGGGCTGTGACCTGCACCAAAAGGTCTTCAAGATGGCTGGTCCAGTTGAACACCCCATGCAAATGTGGGATGCTCCCTTTAAATGGACATGATTATGAAATGCAGTGCACGATCATATAAACGTCTACTTCAGCACAAAACCCCACATATAAATGTGGAACAGTTCACTTAATGAATGGGGTACCTGCACCCCACGAAATGTCAGGTGAAATATTTCAAAAAAGCTACACAATATCACAGCCCGCACTTCTGTTTGCTATCATTACCGATTCGCACACTCTTGCATGTGAAGCTCCCTATAGCTCAATTTGCACGGCTTTGGAATTTTTTTCTCAAACGGGAGGGTAACGGATGGGCACAACCGATTGGGAATGTGTGGAGGGTGGGTGCGTGCACAGCCCATGAATATCGGGAAGATTGGGAAAAGGAAATATTGCCCGTGAAGTCCTCTACGCTTCAGGTAGGTTAAGTGCGTGTATAGGGAGCTTTTAACTTACAAACAACGGAAGACAAGTTAAGCGTCTTTTCAAAACAAGAGAGCTTGACTTCAAAGTGCAGTAAGTTTACCAATGTCTGTTCTAAACAATTGCTGAATCCGGCGCAACGTCAGGTATCATTATGACTAGTTTATTATAAGTTTTACATGATATCGTTCAGATAAGACAATAGTGTTAGTCTTATTCCTCGGAAAAACCAGGAGAATGGAGATATAGTTATGTTGATATTTCGGCAACATGCCTTTCTCGAAACAATGGCAGAAGTGAAATCAAAATTGCTGGCCAATGATTTTGAATTGACTTCTGCTATTGTTTTGAGAAAGGCACGTTGCCGAAATATCAACCCAGCTATATCTTCATTCTCCTGGTTTTTCCGAGGAATAAGGTTAATACTATTGTATTTTCTATGTGACTAATGTTCCTCGCTAATGCACGGAACAACTTACGTGTTATTGTTCACGGCCAATAATCATACGATGCGAAGTGACAAGTGCTTAGCTACCTTCAGAGCATCATGCATACGAGGTTAGAGGGGGGCAGGGGGGGGGGGCGGGGGGCGGAATCATACTTGCAGGCGCGATAAACGCGATCGGATAAAACACATGCAAGCGTTGCCACGTCAGCATCCTGTCCACATCTCTATTTTCTGGTACTCGCTCTCTGTTCTTCAGACCTCCGATCACGTTTGCGTTTGATCACGTTTGCGCCAAATCGCCGGCTTTGCTAAAAACTGCATGCACCGCTTGATACCGTAGCATTAACTTCTCATTTTAAAAATCGTTGTCGGCGAAGCAGTGAGGACCGTTCGGGCGCGTTATCCACCATAATTGGCTACGTCTTTGTGATATGGCGTCGCACTTGTCACACACAAAGTATACAAATATACGGCAACAGCGCCTTGTCACAGCAACACAGGAGCCCGTTGCAAGGCCTCACGACGCTTGCATCGGTGCCCTCCGCGCCTCTTTTGCTCTTGTAAGCAAGTGTAACTACCGGCTTTGCTCGTCGGTTCATTGGTAGTTGGGGTTGTAGAGGCATAAAGCTACATGAAACATCTTATTAGCCAAGGAAACGGCCCATGCGTGTGCATTCCGTGGCAGTGTCGTATCAATTAATCAAGTCTTCCACGCCGCACACATCCCAATTTCATTCAACCGCACACACGCCATGGCATGTCGGGACCATTTCTGCGCTCCGTTTTAACCCTCATTTCCCAGGTCTTTAATCCGGCCATGACGCTTTATGAGGCCTGGCTCCCACAGCTGACCGCATGCACAGCCCCTCCCCCTCCCCCGCTTTCGCTGAGGTCCTCACTAAGCGCAGCGTGGTACACGAAGTGGTCGTCGCGTTGTGACGATCAAGGCAGCAACTGGTCCGCAGGTAAATGGCGACCTGTCCACTGAGATCATCCGCTCGACGTCAGCCATCAGGCCCAGCCGGCTGTCCAGGGTAACCGTTGTTAGCTGCTGCCAGGCCTGACCGGCTGTCTAGGGTAACCGTCGTTAGCTGCTGCAGGCCTGGCCGGCTGCCCATTGTTACCGTTCACCTGATAGTAAATGCCACCTCTGTCTGCACTGACTTGTTGTCCCGTCGCCCGAATGGTAACCCTTCGTTCTTGCGATGATTAGGGTGATCTATGCCTGTCTGGTAACAACTGTCCAGCGGTCTGAGCTAATAAGTCTCAGCCGTTCGGAGCGTATGCGTTCAGTCGGTTGCGGATTACTGTTTGGTTGCAACTGTCGTGTCATGCTGGTGCTGGCTGTCCAACAGTTCAGCGAGATCAGGGGTGTATTTGCGGCGCAACAAGAATGTTCTATTCTACGGGACGTCACGTGGGATCTTTGCCGGACGTACTCGCAGTTAGACACGTTTGCTGTTCACATCTTTGCATCTTCGCGGTTAACTGCAGGGACAATAACTGCGCATGGAAAGGCACGAATACTTCTTTTTCAGGTGCTACACATGCTCTTAACAATAGGAACTGCCAATTATGCTGTTTGTGGCCAACAAATCACATTTGTATCACCCATGGTTGGTCCTGGGCTCGCACACTTACTTCTTTATAGCTGTATGTGTTGCACCATCTCTTTTTGAAGTTGATCAAGTTGCGTGAAAAGGTTCTGTACATCTGACAAAGACACTACGTAACGTTAGGTAACATCTCCGTCGTCCGGGTCGCTGCCAACACCAAAACACATAGAATCTATTGCACATAACGTTTTGAATGACGTTCACGGTATAGACGCTTAGATAGATGTCATCCGGGTCCTGCAAATGCACCCGAGGTGTCCGACAGTCCGCAGAGGCCAGTGGTCTGGCGGTCCATGATGACCCGCTGCCTCCGTCCAGGTTGTAGATAAAACCCACAACCCAACAAATTGCTTCTTCCTTTCCAGGCCGGGTAGAAACCCAGCAGAAATCTGTTTATGCCAATTGCTGGGGCGCAGCGAAAGGCGTCCACCAGAACAGGATGATGGTTGCGGTGGGGCTCAAAGCGTGGCTTCAATATTTAATAGTCGTGGTTTCAAAGCGGTTTCCATACGCAGACATGTCATAGATGAAGCCGGCATATTGGGCAACATCCCGCGTGCTGCCACCAGTTACAATTCTTCCATGCATTCAGCTGCTGTGACTGTCAAGGTCCTTCGTCTTTTTTTAGCGGTCGGGCGTGCAAATCCAGCCGTAGATGGAGCTTAAACGTGAAGCCTGACGAGTCCCTAGCGTGGAAAATACTGCTCCTGTGAATACAAGATCCCATAGGATAGGTTCGGTGTGCCTGCATTCTTAATAGCAGCAGCTACCATTACATTCTTTGAATGACATTGTATAATTGAGTGTTTCGGTTGTGTGCATAATGTTGAAAATTGTAGTGTTAAAAGAGATTTTCGGTGATGCGCCGATTCCTGATAATGCCTTTGGGCATTTTGCGTCATATGGTATCATGTTACGCCGCTGGCGACAGTTTTGTCAACAGAAATTCGGTCGGTGGCAAAAAATGCACTTTTGCCATACCTGCTCCTGCGCCGTAGACAAGTCGAGCCACCCCGCTCTCACAAACTAACCTGCATCGAGTCTGATCGGTCGGCCGTCCAAGGATCCCATATCCGGCTCTTGAGAATGCTGAGTCAGGCCACCCGGGATGGCATGTCCGGATGCCCGGGATGGCATGTCCGGATGCCCGGGACGGCATGTCCGGATGACCGGGATGGCGCGTCCGGATGACCGGGATGCGATGTCCAGCTTTCAGAGAATCTGACGCCCGGAGTCGAGGAACATTATCTCCCGTAATGTCCGGCGGACATCTCCCGATGTCCGCCGATCCGTTGCCCTCATGTCCGGGGTCTGGGGACATAATCTCCCGTCATCTCCGGCTGACAACTCCTGATGTTCGCCAGTCCGCGGGCATGTCCTGATGTCCGGCGGTCCGTCGCCTTCATGTCCCGGCGTCCGGGGATCAGTGTTACGCTGGTCCAGTGTCCTCTGTCCCGCCGCCCAAGAATATTATGTCCGGCCATTCAGGATCTGGTGTCTGGACGACTACGATCCAGTGCCTGGATATCGAAGAAAACAATTTCGAGACATTCCAGGATCCAGTATCCATTTTCTGGGAGTTCATACCCGGTCTCCGATCACCGATGTACGAATATCCTGAGCGCACGGCGCGGATCTGCAGATCCTGTACGTCTGGTTGGCCGCGGATCCTACAGCCCACTATTTTCCGACCGGTGTATCCGGCCGTCCGCGTGTCCTAGCTATGACCGGAGGTCCAAGATCACTGCACGTCTGGCTATCCTGGGACTCCGTCCTGCCGGACGAAAACATTATATCCGGACCTCCCCTACCAGCCGGCCGCAGACCGTACGTCTGGCCACCTGCAGACCACATGTCCGGCCGTCCGCAGGCCGCAAGTCTGGCCAACTGCAGACCACATGTCCGGCCGTCCGCAGACCGCACGTCTGGCCGACCGCAGACCACATGTCCGGCCGACCGCAGACCGTGCGTCTGGCCGACAGGGTGCCACATATCCGGCCGACCTGGGACCATTTGTTCGGCCGACCGGGGACCGCATGTCCGGCCGACCGGGACCGGTTGTCCGGCCGGCGGGAGTCGTGTCGTGTCCGACTGTCCGGCACTAACCGTCTGGCGGCGTGGGACTAATCGCCGTCGGGCCTCAGCTCCCCCCGCCGGCGGCCACACCGGCCGAAGCGGACCGCATCGATTGCGGCGGGGCGACTGGCTCAGGTGAGCCCAGCCCCGCCGACGGCGGCGGCCAGTTGGGACCAGGCAGCGGAGCCGCCGGCAGCCACCATACAGCCAGGGGCGGCCGACTGTGACCGGCGGGCAGGGGTGGCGCGGCTGGACGGCCGGCACAGACGCGCAGCCGCCGCTGCCACCGGCGTCACGCTCCGCGGGTGAGCTCTGCGTGTGAGTTGTGACCGAGTTGTGGTGAGAGCTGAGGTACGTGTGTCGACCGTGTTGTGCCGGTAGAGGTCGGGTATGCTGCTCTGAGTTGTGAGTTTGGGGCTGGATGGGACCAGGTCAGATGGCCTTGTGTGAGTGAGCGGTACAGATTGCTGACTGTTGATAGTGGGTGGCATCATTACATCAGGTGATGCTTCAGTAAACTCCTGATCAATGGGTGGATACTATTCGTGTCCACGGCGTACCGGCGAGTTCGCACAAGTCTTTACTTATCCCGTGTCTAGTCACGAGTACTTGCGGTGATATGCCGCGCCCAGCGGGGCGGCTGCGGCGAGTCCGACTGCCAGTACGCCGTCGCCGGCTGCGGCGAGTCCGTGCCGGCTGAGCCTGCAGGACGGACCTCTGCGGCAGTCAAGGTCGGCCCACAGCCTGTCCATAGTCCGGCGCCGTTGTCTCGCCGCTCTAGTGCGCAGGGGTTCACGAACCCACTGGGCTCAGCTGAGCGGGCAGGCAACCTGCTGCGTCAATATCTCTTGCCTAAGCCGTCACGGTCTCAGAGCCGACGACTGCAGCGGACCACGGTGTGCGAACATCGCTTGTCTCTGCTGCCACCGCCCAGAGCGAAATATTTCAGGTCGCTCCCCATGACCAGCCGAGCGCTGTCCCCCTCCCCAGCTGTACCGAGGCTTTGCCGTTATACGCTGTCACGGCCGGCGACTGATCGCCCTCGCTTACTAGCCGCGATGAGCTCTGCCTCCCGTGCAACAATGGTGATAGCTCGGCCACGGCCAGCGAGTAGCCACTGTGTGAAGGAAACTGGTTTAGCTTCTCGTGTTCATTACTGGAGCACTCATATCATGCAAATGCCGTGTTTTGTCTGAGAATGGCGGCCTGTCGTGAACGCGGGACATCAGCGTTTCTAGGCGGAGGGAAGACTGTGATGCACCGGGTGCTCCGCAGTGACAGGTAGACTGTGATGCGTCGGGTGCTCCGCAGTGACAGGTAACCCTCGGGATCGATAGCTCGAGCGGCTCGTGGCGTGCCTAGTTAAAATGGAACGGGCAACAGAGTCGGCCGAGCGAGGGTGGGGCAGGTCCGCAGGCTGGCGGCACCGAACGGCACAGATAGGCACGAGCACTGGAGGCCTATCCAACTGAACAACGGGTCAGAGTTACACTGGATAACAGTACATGTACTCCATGTGCTAATTGGCCTAAGGGCTGCGGAGTGATATAAGTTTTTAAGTTTGATTAGGGCTTTGATGTTCAAAAGATTCATTATCGATTAAGGAAAATGTAATCATTAGATTAAACATTAGACGTTTCATGATTGAACTGTGTCATTGCAACCGCGACGGATTTGAATCATAGCGATTTAGGTGACTTGCACATTGAATTATGTCATTAGATTGACCAGTGACCAGTCATCGTTCAATTGGAACTTCCAATCCAGGAAAGTTTCAGTCTAACGCTATCCTATCTTAGTATCTTCACGGCATGAGAGTGAACTCATCGTGCAGGTTACGGACAAAAGGATCGGCTGAGATGCTACGTGCATGATAGCGTCCCATTCAACCTCGATCTTCACGGTCATGTTGAGATTTATTTTCCCATGTATCTGCAAAATAATTGTCTTGTCATGACTGCTTCTTCTTATTCCCGAAGGAAAGACTACGGAAGCAGGCATAACAACATTATCTGTCGGTTGCTGGCTGCAACATCTTGGGAACACTGACTGCGTCGGATTTCAGGCTTATCTTTACTCAATACTGTATCAGCCTCTCCACCGCTTTTCCTTCCCTGACAACTCCAATGAATTATTCAACCGGACCTCGATTTATTTCCCATTTGTCCTAATGAAGACCGGAATGAGGGAATGTCCAGTGATGTGGGCGTTGCTGCTCAGCGACACAGGGGACGCAGTCCGAACAAACAAGCGCTCTGTTCCCGGCTCCTGCGCCGCCACCGGCGGTCCTGCGACGGCACAAAATCCCCGACTCGCGTGTAAAGCGCCGATAATGCCGGCCGGGCCGCGACATTACACGACCTGTATCGATTGCGGGTTCGTCGGGGCCGCCGCCTGAAAGGAGCCCCGCCGTCTGCGACGACCGGCGGCAGACACAAGGCCTAAAGTCAGCGCCACGGTGGAACAAAGGTCCGGGCTGCCGGCGGCGGCGGCGGCGGCTCAGGAGCCACGCTGTCTACCCGGCGGCGCTGGTACGGGGCTGTGAGGAGCAGGCCTTAGGCGGACACCCGTGAATACCCGGAGTGGAGTAGCCACGCTGTCTGCCCGGCGGCGCTGGTACGGGGCTGTGGGGAGGAAGCCTCAGGCGGACACCCGGTATATCCGGAGTGGAGTAGCCACGCTGTTTGTCCTTCAGTACTGGGACGAGGGGCAATGGGGAAGCAGCGCCAGGCATTGACTCGATGATACCCTGGAGTGGGGGCGCCGCACTGTCGGCATCACAGAGCTGGCGCCGGAGAGCTATCAGGGAGCCTGGAGCTATTTGTCCGAAAGCATGAAGAGGTGGCATCAGACCGGTGCCCGTTCCAGGCCTGGAATGGCGCCGGTGGCTATGTGGAGACGTGACACCTCGCAGACAGCGTTCCGTGGCCGGAGTGGATGAGCCGCACTTTCTTGTCTGCGATACTGACACGAGGAGCCACAGAGACATGGTGTTACGCGGATTCCGTCCGTGACTTGGAGCAGCCAAGAGCCTGAAAATTCATGCGGTGGTCAGATCCTACCATAACTCGCGCAGGAGCGCAAACTAAGCAGTGGCACAAGCTCATCGTCGTCTACGTGGAAGCTCTCAGTGGCCAGAGTTCGCTATGATCTATGCCGAAGCCTGCGCAGTGACCCAAACTTCCCATAAACCATGCGAAGGTCTGTATAGTGACCAAGACTTACTGTGCCCCGTGCCAAAGCCTCTACGGTGAGCCAAACCTCACACGGCTCATTGTGAAGCCTGCACCAGTGGCCCGACCTCCCCGTGTACCATGCGGAAGCCTGTACAGTGACCTGACCTTCCCGTGCACCGTCCGAAAGCCTGTACGGTGACCCGGCCTTTCCGTGAACTGTGCCGAAGCCTCTACACTGACCATGGCCCATGCGGAAGCATGGACCGTGGTCAGTGTAGAGGCACTGTGCAGGCTTCCATGCGAAAGCCTGTACAGTGACCTGACCTTCTCGCGACCCGAGCGGAAGCCTCTACAGTGACCACGGTCCATGCAGAAACCTGTACAGTGACCCGACCTTCCCCTGCACCGTGCTGAAGCCTGCGCAGTGATCGACGCAACAGCTGGGCCAATAATGATGTCTGTCGTTATGGTGCAGCAAATCAGCAGGCACTATGCTCGGGTCGGCAATTGATCATCGGCTAATGAATATATGCGCCAGTAACACACGGCACACACCCCACGTGCCAACAGCGAGGGGTCCTTCTTCGCCTCCATATGTTGACTCGGCCGCGAAGCCACCGGACTGTAAGGCACACATTGGCCTCTCCTGCCATATATAGCTCCCATCGATGGCGCCGCGAGCATGTAAAGTGACACGACGTCACCTCCGTCGCCTCCGACCGCATCGCTGTCACTACTCGTATGTCGACCTGCTGCTCCCTCCACAGGTGCCCTGGGTGGGTAGGGGTCGGGCCGTTGTCAGCTCGAGGAGCAGGTGGCGCTTCAGGTCGATACAGGTCGCGGAGGGACACACAGGACCGCCGTCCGGTGCAACGATTTCCGGAACAAGGCCGGGGTCGGCGCCCCATCGCCGGTGCCAATGGTCGTCCAGCCATCGTCTTCGAACAGAAATGGCAGCGCTAATGGCTGGCACGTCGCGGGGGTCAAGCAGAGGCTGATGAGTTGGCATATCCACAGTCTTAAACTGTGCACATAAATTGGAGCGCATTTCTCAACAAATAGAGCCATGCGCCGTAGAGCGAACACGATTTGTTTCACATCATGCTGAGTGTTATGCTTAGTGCCCGAGATGGCGTTGTCTGGAAGCTCTTATTCAAAGTCTATCCCAAAGTCCAAGGATAAACCAGTTGTCCGTCCATGTGTCCGAAAATCAGGACACCCCAAAATCAGGGCACCCAAAAATGTCAGTTTTGATTTCAAAGTATCAAATAACTGATGCCTACAATCAATTACCCTTGTCACTATTTGCGTCGCTGCATTGACCCACTCGAATCAAGCGAAAAGGAAGAGAATACTCGTAGGTAGATGAGGTTTGTCACAGTCCTTCGTGAAGATAATTTGAGGTATCATCACAGGCAGCCTTTGCACAATAACTGTAAGATGACAAAAGCGGCAGCCGTAAAACGGAGATCTGTATTTGCTAGTGTGACTAGTGCTAGCTGCTAACTGTGTGCTATATGTGCTATAGTGCTAACTGTGAATGTGTTGCTCGCGCTCCCATCTCATTTTATAGCTTTCATGGCCTAAGGAATATGTGACAGTGCATGCGATGAGGGCTCTATCCGATGTTTCAAAAAGGAATATTTCCTAATGTGCTTTGTCAACGATTTGTTCCAGGCTCGGAATCAAAATTGTTTTGAAACGAGTAGCTACAAATCAGTCTAGATGCTTATCAAATTAAGAGACGACAGAATGATATCGGCTGTCCAAAAAATCCAGAAATTTCTTCCTGGTTTGTTCAACTTTCAAATCGAGCTGTGGAAATTTTCGGACCTCCAAAAAATTGGAACCCAATCGGTACCTCTAAGTGCGACTACAAAATGTCTTGTAGCCCATGGAGCTCGAGCACGGATGTCGCTGAGGACACCTGCAGTCCTCAGACTATCTGGGCCATGCGATAATATTCAGGATTTCTTTCCTTTGCTCTAACCAATCACAGATTGTTATACTGTGTCGAGCCATCGCTTATATGCTACCCCATTTTTATCCCATTTATGACCTATTTAGCTTCGGTTACGAAAACGAATCCGTAAAAAGGTTCCAGATGGCGATGTGAAACGTACTGCCGCGTCGCTTAGATACCAGTTGTTAACGTTGATCTGCCAGTAATTTATTATAATACTGTGTTTGTTTGCCTAAAATGCCGTCATCGCTTGTTTGCAACTACAGTATTCATTATTGATAGTGGTTATCTATTGATTATTAAGAAACGATGCTACTCATCATCTATAACGGCGACCATTGGCTGCCTTCAGAACGGGCCACTGAATGAAGAATTTGGAGTTCAGCCCCGGGCCTCGATGGAATTCAGGATCATTCTGATCCTGAGCATGGCCATCACTGTACACGCCCAGACAGGTCAGCAACCGCACCTACACATGCTCTCAGTGGGCTTCGTAAGCCTCCGTGGCGTATGCTTACGTTCCTTGTTGGGGACATCTTTCGGACCCGTCCGTGGAACTTGTAGATAAGTTTTGTAACTGTGTCATTGTGGCATTGACTGTCATGCATAGCTATGATACCCTGTTCATGCATAGTACGAATCGTGCCACATTCATGATATGTTACAGCACTTTGTTCATGTTAGTGCATTACAGCCACCTTTTATCGAAATCTGTGATGAACATTCTGAGCTGTCGTCAAAGGTACTGTCGCTTACCAACCACGATGACCTGACCGATTTCCTTTACTGCAGCCGAAATCGAGGTGGGGACAGTCGGAAGTCGTCCAGGCGCCAGCGAGGTCAATGACAGCGACGACGAGGGGACGTACAGCCTCGACATCGAGGAGCAGGATGTCACCGCCCTTCAGAATGACATCACTGTGTGGGTCAGCTGGTCGGGCAATGCCACAGACGCGAGGTATGGAGAAAGGCAGCATACCGTCCATAACGGTACTGTATATACGTGTGCAATAATATTTGTCGGAAACCTTTTCGTCTGATGGCCATACTCCACTGACTTATCAAGAGTCTGTCCTTCATAAAACGCTAGCTCCTGACATATCCGTTCCCGGCTTTCCCACGTCGCATTTACGCATAAATAATGCTCATTATTTAATCCGCCACAATCACCAGCCCTGCCATCCTCTCATTTCTCACTCTCCGACCTATTCTGTAGTATGATTTCACAAATTATTGGGGCGATCTAAATGCAACACTGTCCCCCCCCCCCCCCCATTACCCTCGGCTTCCCCATGAACTGTGTGTTGAAGCAGTAGTCAGCTCCCGGTATCCTCACCAGCACTCGGGCTCACTCACATCTCTTCCCCGTACCTCACCAGCACTCGGGTTCACTCACATCTCTTCCCCGTACCTCACCAGCACTCGGGCTCACTCACATCTCCTCCCCGTACCTCACCAGCACTCTGGCTCACTCACATCTCCTCCCCGTACCTCACCAGCACTCGGGCTCACTCACATCTCCTCCCCGTACCTCACCAGCACTCAGGCTCACTTACACCTCCTCCCCGTACCTCACCAGCACTCGGGTTCACTCACATCTCCTCCCCATACCTCACCAGTACTTGGGTGCACTCACATCTCATCCCCCTCACCAGCACTCGGGTTCACTCACAGCGCCATTGCGGTCTTCCGGGGTGCGCCAAGGTGCGCTGGTATTGACCTAGCAATTAACAGTCGCGTGCACTGGCGCTACTTGCAACGGCCCTTTCCACCGTGGCGAATGACCGGTGTAACTGGCGCTGGCAAGCCGGACGGCGCAGGTTACGGCCGGGTTATTGGGTGACCTGTCGACAGCCGACCGGGCCCGGGTGCGCTCTCTGCAAAGCTGCCGTCGCCTGACTGACCGGTTCTGCTTGCAGGGCCGACGTGACGGCGCTGTCATCGGACCGTGCTGAAGTGACACCGGACGGCGCTCGGGCCGAGACGGTGGACAGCGAGCTGACCGTGGAGCTGACCGTAGAGCTGGTCCACCTGGCGTCAGCCGAGACGGTGGACGCGGCGCCAGTGGGACCGGGGCCGGGGGCGTGGCGCGTGACGTTCCCGTGTGGAACCGTGCAGCAGGGCGGCACGTTCGCGGCGCGGCTGCTGGCCGCTGGCCGGCTGCTGGCCGTCAGCCGGCCGATGGCCGTGCGCTGGCCGCCGGTGCTGGTTAGCCTGCCATCAGCTGCGGACTCGCACACGGCCGTAGTGGCGCACGTGCGCCTGACGAGTGGCGTGTGCACCCCGCGCCACCGACGCCGCTTCGCCGTCAGCGCGCAGCTCGTGCTGTCGGAGCGGCCGGCCGCCGGCGCCGCGCCGCTAGCCGGCCGCGTCACCGACCGCCACCCGCTCAAGCACTTCTACGAGCGCGGTCACGACCTGCGGCTCGGCTGCGAGCGGCTCGAGCGGCAGGCGTTCTTCCAGCTGCAGCTGGTGGCCAATGTCACCGACAAACCGCTCGTGGCCTGGAGCAACGTGATGCGTGTGCGCTGGAGCCGCCGCTTTCGGCTGAAGGTGCGCGGTGAGAACGGCGGCAGTGTGTTCCCCTGCCGCGCCGGCGTCGAGGTCTACTTCGGCCGGCCGCGCTGCGCTGGTGGCGGCGACCGGCTGCGGCTCTCGGGTGTCGAGCGGGCGGACGTAGCGTCGGCGGCGCCGCCCACCATCGAGCGCTATGTCGGCGAGCGGCGCGTCTCCGGCGAGAGCAGCGCCGTGTCGTTCGAGTGCGCTGACTTCTCCGAACGCTTCGTGCGCTACTGCGTGTCGTACATGGCGTTCGGCTGGTCGGGCGCCGTGTACCTGGTGCGGAAGGTCTGCATCCCGACGCAGGCGGCCACGCGTGAGTACAGGGCTCGCCGATGGCGGCCGATGGATGCAGGCCACGCCGGTTGGCCGGCACTTCCCCCTCCAGACGCGATAGATTTCCGGGGGCTAGCGACTGTTTTTGAATTAGCGTCGTTTCATTCGTTGGTGCGGTTTCGGCTGCAAATACCTCTTGCCTCGAATGAGACCGATGTGAAGTGATGCTGTCCTAGCCTCCACGTACTGCCGCCAGTGGTGGGTGCTTCTTTGCTCACACACTACCTGTCAACCCCGGACATTAACATGCTTCCCCACCTCCCGGCCAGCTGGCAGCCCTCTCATGGTCCATGAGGCACACGAACCCTCCGTTTTCAAACCGCTTCCAGGTGTGCACAGACCCGGATAACTATCATTCCTTCTGGTCATGTGCAAAGCCGTGCTTACATCTCCCTCTTTCCCAGGAAGCGTCTCCCAATCTGCAACCATCTCGATTGATTAGGAGCGAATCCAGACTGAAGGATGCTCGTGTCCACGTCACGACTGGAACCAATTGCGGTTGTTTAACACACAATTACCCCCTGCGCCGTGCTATTGGAGGACGGTCCAGGTGCGCTGCAGCCCCACCGTTGCCAATGCCGTGCAGATGGGCTATGAACGCGCGGTGTGACGTGATGATATGGCCCGAGGCCGCGCGACGGACCGTGGCGTGACGGGTGTGTTCCGGCGCTGAGGGCGAGCGTCACGGCCGCCGCACACGGGCGCGGAAAAGTCGAGCGCCGTGTCGTCGGGAACATACGCGCGGGAGGAGGCCACGAATGGGCTAATTGATGCTTTGGTTTAAATCGGCGACGTCGCAACGTTCTGCTGGAGTGTATTCACTGGTGCAGCGCCACACCCGGCTTAGCCTCATTTAAATTTCGTCCATTTCGTGGTGGTGCTGCCGGGAGGACTCAGGTTTTCCCATCCATCAGAGTGGGCAGGTGTTGTTGCAATGCGTCCGTGAGCTGTCGGGCCTCACACGCGCCGTTGCTGACCCTTTGGTCTCGATGCCGGCGGGATCCAGCCGTCCGACACGGACGGCGGTGGCACGTGCGTCATGTCCCACGTCATGAGAGCCTCTCCGGGCTGGGCCAAATTAATTACGGCCGTGGAGGGGGGCCTCATGGTTCCCGTGCCCCGCAGCCCGGGCTCCACCAGCGACGAACCGTGATCGATTGGCAAGAGTCGGCGGCCGCTTGCCGCCGGCGGGCAGCGTCGTCCGCTCCGGGCGGCACCACGACAGCCCCGGCGGCGACTAATCGGACTCCGCTCCAGCCCACACCGGCTGCCGCTAATTGAAGCGGCCACAAAGGGGTCGTCGGCCGGCACGCGGACGCCCTCGGGTGCGTTCCGACAACACAGGGGTGTGTCTGGGACAAAGGAGCGTCGTTCGGCCAGTGGACACTCCGGCGCCGGCCTGCGTCCCGCAACACAGGCTGACTGACTGGACGGCTGCCGCCGCAGGCACAACAACTGTGTGTACCGCTACGCAAGGAATAATAGTGTACTATGGGCAATATCATTCACGTTGAGCGTCTGTGGATCCCGAACAGAAGCTCGAGCGCCAGCCTGATTATATCAGCCTTCACGGGCTCATAAGTCAGTGATGACAGAATTGATGGTGCTCCAACCCAGCGAAGCGCAATTTGCCTATATATATATAAGACCTCGTCGCAAATTTCCATGATTTTAGTCACTATACCGTCTTTAAAAATAATGCTGAGTTGTGCCTAACAGCTACCTTAGCGTCCTTTCAGGATTCATTCTTGCAATTATTTCAAAGCCACTGCCAACTAGCCATTCGAATTGTTACGGGTTTCAGACAGGTGAAGCCCAAAAGTTGGCGCATGCTTGCGTGCTTGTGAGCTGTTGGAATTTGATCAGAGCTAGATGTACCGACTCTGAGTGTCTATGTCTCTGGCAGCTTGCGTGTTGGCTGGGTGTCCGTGTTGAGTTGGGCGTGCCGTCCGAAGTGCCACGTGCAGCTGTGAGGACGCAGGGTTAGTTGAGGAAATACCATATTAGATTTTGGTAGCACCTGCCTGTCGCGCTCCTGGTTCCTTTTCGAGCCCACGCTTATTGCCTCACGCGTACAAGATCACGGCTAATACACGCCCGAGTGGTCGTCAAATACGACGTCGCTCGTCGGGGGGGGGGGGGGGAGCAAGTTGAGCCCTCTAAGTTTTCCAAATTAAGAGAGCTGGAGACTCTGGACTCGCAGAATAGATGGGCCTGTGTGTAAACTCACTTGCATCAAATTTTGAGGTTCCTAGGTGTAACTTTAGGGCATAGGGTATAACTTTCAAGTCAAAAATGTTGAACAAGGTCAAACTCCAGAACGTTGTCCAACGTGCCCAAGACCTTCTTATCCAGCCACCTTTAACGTGGGTTCCTTTAATGAGCAACAGGTTACTGGCGTTCACTTCAGGCCATAGACCTTTTTTAACCATCAGAAAGCCGCGATGGCCAAAAACCTGCGATATTGTTTGGATTTTTCTATTTCAGTAAACTTCAAGGAATATTATAAGCGTTGTATTTAAAAAGCAAACGGTGAATCGGGATCATTTTAGGTCTGTGACTCCTTCTGACATTTATGTAGCCTAAATAAGACATTTGTCGGCCTCCTTGTGGCCAAGAAATTCAAAGTGAGCGGCAAAAACTAGCCCACAAGTCAAGGCCTCCAGTAAAAAACAATTTGGTTTTAACCTCGATCTACCAGACCAAAGGTCAACGCAAGAGGTCGTAGTCCTATATGTAATTGTTTAAATGTCAAGGAAACCATCTCAGAGATTATGGCTTCGCCTAACACTTTGTTGTATCAGTTTAGACGATTCACTAGGCATTGCCCTCGCTGACAACCATGGCCTGACTTAGACCTGTAATAGGTCATCGACATTACGAAGCCACGCATCTCTGAGACGGCTCCTTTGGCGTCTAAACGGCTGAATCTAGGATTACGACTTTGTAAGGCACATCTAATTGGCATAAACCAAAAGATTGGCTGTTTAATCAGCTATACCTATGCAATTTTTGGTGCATCTACACCGTGCTGTTCAGAAATTGATTTGGAATATATTTTCGGAGCTCAAATTGACCGCTGATCCGAGGGCGTGTTAAGCCAAAAATAAGTTACATCAGTCTATGGAAAAACAAGCAGCTTGGAGAAGACAACAAAATATTTCAGCGCTTGGTTGTCATCCTTTCAGTTGTTATTGTTCTGACGTGATTAATATACTTCAAATGTCATCCACAGAAAATGTTCGTCCAGAACCAAACGCAAAGCGTGCATTAGCGATTATACTGCCGTCGTGATTTATTTTACCAGCGAAAATTCGATTATGTCCACATCCCAAATTTTGGTAACCAGGTACAGACTAATTTACTCAATAGCCAAGCATGTCCACATCGCAAAACACCCACAATATTCAAGAAAATCTGCAATTTGTGAGCCAGAACCGATCAGTATACTGGAGAGTAACACCCGCTGCGTATCACCACGTCATGAAGCCAGAACCGATCAGTATGCAGGAGAGCAACACCCGCTGCATATCACCACGTCATGAAGCCAGAACCGATCAGTATGCAGGAGAGCAACACCCGCTGCATATCAGAGATATCATCAGAGATACAGACACGCACACAAGTAGCTAAATGGAGACATGCATGCAAATGCTGCTGCTCCGGGCATCTGACAGAGCATGAAACATGAGGGCGGAGAGGGCGCCTATTTTCACATTGCTTACTGCAAATACAGCAAGCCAATAAACTCGAAATGCCAAGACCAGTGAAACATGGCTCGTGTAAAGAAATTGACTTAACAACTTCGAGGCCCCTAAATATTAAAAGGCATCAAGGAAAAGAGCGCAGTCCTTCAAAACCGCTTTCAATGCCTGTGAACCGCGACTCCCGCTTGATTCATGGGCCTTCGCGGAAGCCCCATGCCGAGAGGTTAGACCAGCTCCCCACGATAATCCTACGTGCGTGTCTGTTGGATATCATAATGATTGCTAGGTTTAGTATAACTTATCAGCCTTCGTGGACCTAGACTGACTCGGTGGGCAGTCTAATTACCCTGCGATTCGTCCTCGCAGTGCACGCGACCCCACCGGCGACGCCACGAGCGGCTGCGGACGCCCGGCTCCGGTGTTGGCGGTTCGGTATCGGAACGATCTTTTGGTCAGAGCTGTACTCACGCCAGGCTTCTTGACGTGCTCGACGACACTTCCTAACGTCTCCACGGACAACACTTTGCTTAAGGAGTGGACGTACTGCGAGACGACAAAACGTTCTCGTACTTCCTGGTTTGGTGCAGAGTCCCCGGGACTCCGCATAAGACTCAGTGGGCAGCGAGGTTTAGACACCTGCAAGACGGGCGTGGATTTCCCTTGATTCACCCCAAGGTGTGGGAGCTCCCCACCGTCGTTGCTATGACAACGGCACGTGTAATAAACCTGGATTGGATGCCGGGGAGCCGGCGCGGCACCAGAATGTGCTTCATTACACCCAGCGGGCCGGGGCTGCCCAGTCGTCCAGTGTCGCCCTCTCGCAAGCGGCCGGGTCGCCGGAGGAACACTGACGCACACACATTCCCCACAGCACCTGCTGCACGTTAATAACCGGGCCTGGGTGATTCAGCGTTAGGATTACACTGTGTAAGGCCGCTTCAGTGGTCGCTGGAGACCACTGCCCACGGTTGCCCGAGTGGCTATGAACACGATGAGGTTGCCCGAGTGGCTATGAACACGATGATAAGAAATGGAGCTCACGTGCTCTGTATGTGCACGCTCATGCCCATCACAGGCAAGGCCAAATTTACCACAATGCGGACAACTAGAAGTGATGTTTCTGTCCCGTTTCTTCTAGTTCCGTTATGTTTGGTTTGGTTTCGTTTGGATTGCTTTGGTTTGGTTTCCTTTGGTTTGGTTTTGATTTGTTTTGTTCCGTTCCGTTCCGTTTCTTTCTCTCCCATCCCGTGCCGTGGCGTGCCGTGCCGTTCAGTCCAGTCCAGTCCAGTCCAGTCCAGTCCCGTCCCTCTCCATTTTAAAGAAAATGCAGCTTATAACCATGGTTTCAGTGGTGACAGACGGTGGTTTCGGTCCGTGGTCTGCGTGGTCTCCGTGTGAAGGCAGCTGTGGTGCATCCAGTCGCGTCAGATACAGATTCTGCAACTCGCCCCAACCGCGAAACAACGGGGCCTTCTGCCAGGTACCACCCGCGCTGCGCAGTCAGCGCTACACGTGACAGACAGACGTTTGTGAGAAATTTCTGACCATCTTAGCGGTCAGTGCACGTGATTTGAGCTTGAATGATGACTGGCCATCCTGTTCCCCTCTGGTCGTGCAGTGACCTGTTCGTCAACATATGATTATTCGCTTTTCGCCGCCAACAGCGTCACCTTCTGCTGTAGTTTGCTCGGATGTCCATTCGGCCAACTTTAAGCAATGCCATGCTTTGTTAAAACGTCGTTATACCGTCTTTGACAACATGGGGCTGCAGGCCCCTCACAGACCACTTTCTTCCTTCTTCCCAGCTGCACCGTCTGTGACAATTCAACGCCTCTGTGACCGTCACCCCCGCTGCCCCGGCGTCTGTGACGACCGAGCGCCGTCGGCCCTTCAGGCCGTGACCTTCGCAGCTCTCTGTTCCCCGTCCGCCGTCGCGACACGCTCTCGGCGCCGTTCTGACCAGCAGCCGGCTGCTGCAGGGCGAGACGACTCAGTCGCGGCCGTGCCGGCTGCCGCCCTGTCCGGCCAGCACCACCACGGCGTCGCCGGTGGCGGCGGTGCACGTCAGTCCTACGTGCCGCTGTGGCTGTGACGTGCTACTGTCGCGCGGCCAGAACTACACCCTGGCCGCCTCGGCCCACCACTGCCGCGGCACCAGCTTCTGGCGATTCGAGGTTCGTTCATGGACGCCTGTCGAGGCATCCGACTGAAGGCCCCCCTCATGGAGCCGAGAGTTAACATTTCCCGCAGTGTTCCCAACGATGAAGTGGTTTGTTTAACCTCCAATTGTCTGACATTAAAGGCGTGCGTTCCATTTTTATCTCTCCTAGATTCAAGCCCGTTACGGTGGGGCTAGCCAACAATGCGGTGCCAGCGTGACACGTGGGCAGGATATCGCTGCCAGCTCAGATGAGTTACGTGAACTATTTACAGCCACTGGGAAGAGGCTTGAAATTCCCTTATGCGCATAAGTGCGACGGCACCCATGGCCACTGCCCAGCCGTCATTTCCGCAATGGTTAAGCCTTAGCTGTAAAGTGTTTCACGTGTATGCCATTTTACGTAGCGTAATTGAGCGTACGAAGGAACTGAGATCAGTTGACCTATTGCGCATGCCATCAAGGTCGTCGTCAGGGTTTGTCACGAGACTCAACAGAGCATTGCCCTCTTTGCCCAACCGGAGTTCTTGTGGCCCTCGTGCGGCCCTTTTCTCATGTGGCCCCTCCACCCTCGTCCAGACGTCCGACGGTAGTATGTGCCGTTCTGATGCCCTCCACCCCCGTCCAGACGTCCGACGGCAGCGTGCTCCAGTTGCGCTTCTCCTACTTCCGGCTGAACGGCAGCGCCGAACGGCTGCGGGCGCGGGACGGCGCCTTCTCCAACTCGGAGCTGCTGATGGACGCGTCGGGCGCGGCCCGGCCGCCGGCGGCACTAACCTCGGCCGGCTGCCTGCTGCTGCAGTACAGCGGCGTCGAGGCGCCCACGGACCCCGGCGGCGGCTTCCTGGCTTCGGTGACGGCCGTCGGTGAGGCGCAGAGAGTGCAACACTTGGCGTGCACCAGGTCAGATCAGGCCAGATCAGGTCAGGTCCGGTCATGTCAGACCAGCTTGTTCAGGGCTCTCGAGGTACTGCTCGCTGGATTTCAAGGATGTCATCCATTCTCTAGGGCTGAACATGAACATCCCGAGCAAAACCACCTGAATGTATTTGGTAGGTTTTGAAAGGACATCACCAAATGCCAGTCCTGCACTTAGTTGCACTGCGGGTACGTTGTGAATGTACCACGCAGTCTGACCCAACAGCAGCGGTTTATTCCAGCAGCACCTAACTCAGTCAAACTATGTCATTACCGGCGCCGCCTGGCTCCCGTTGACAGCGCCGCCTGCCGGCAGCCTCGAACGGTAGCAGCACGGCGCGGCTGGCGGCGGCCAGCGCTCCACCGGCCGTCAACGGCGTCGGCGTCCTCGCTATCTGCTTCCTGTCTGTGATAATGACGGTGGTGATCGCTGCTGGCTCCTACCAAGCTTGGAAGGCGCGCAGGCTGGCCGCCACGGCTGCCAGGTAAGCACAGCTCGGGCGGAGGACGCCGAGCATCGTCCTGGCCTCCAGGCATATTCGGCGCTGTTGAATGACAACTGGGCGTTAGTGGCTTGAATGATTTAACAGCCAAGAATAACCAAACAGGTAAACAGACACGCGTTCTTAAAACGACTTGTTTCTCTCGTTTTTCCTTTAAACAAAGCGTCACATACGTATGAAGTTAAAACCGAAGGGGATTACAATTAACGACAATTTTCTGTGCATATGAAGCTACGTTACTCATGTGTGCCATAGCCAATTACCGTGAATTATGCTGCAGTTTCACGACTCCTTTTTGGCTCGTCCAAATGTTCAGCTTGACCTGGAATCATCCACTTTAATTTGCTGCGTTGACGACAAAGACCGTCTCCGCTTTAAATGAAATATTCCGCATTTGTATACTAACAAGCAAGGAACAAGGAGCAGTGGAGCAGTGGAAAACACTGCGCAAGACATAACACTTTCCCTACTTGCCAAATATGCTCTTCACTTCCGTCATTGTTTGACTACGTTATCATGCTCTGCACACCATTGATTCAAAGCCAATTGACGGCCGTGATATCTGGAAATCGTGCTCACGAACGTCAGATATGAACGACTCGACAATTATATTTTTGGTCTCGGCCTTGATCGCAGATGACCAATGGATTTGAATAACGTTATTATAGCGTCATGGATGCCGGGGTGACCTTGAAATAGTCTCCCCGAGACAGTTTGAACATCTTCGCAGGTATGTAGATCAGAATCTAGAGAGGGTTAGGTCCTAAAAAGGGAAGGGCCACAAACTGCAACGAATGATCTTCAAGATAGCTGTGTTGGTTCAAACCCCCATAGAAATGTCAAACATTTCCCTTAACGAGAGCATAGCACCTTTTTGTGCTCTTCACTTATTGCCACATCAGACACCTACGATTTGACAGTAATGCCAGCTTTCTCGAAGTCCTCGTGAATTGCTCAGAGTTCCGATTTGAAGTTGCCTTCCTTATGGGAAAAGGCTCATTTCATTCTCTGCTCACCACTATAAAAATGATAGGTTAATTTACCTTGCTCTTGCTAAAAAGCGTGCCGTGTAATTGCTGCAAACACCAATATGTCAAAATATTTGCAAGCATGAAGCTAGTATCCCATGAATATAACAAACCATAATACTATGGCTTTAATTTCTCGCCTAAGCATTTACTACAGTGGCTGTTTTCGAGGCGCACATGGCTTTGGGAACGGGAGCATCACGTGATTCATATGGGGCACTGGCTCAAACTTCAGCCAATGCGCGTCTCGGTAAAAAGCGCTTGCCCACTGGCCCAATCACAAGCGTTCTTTCACTCGCACCAGTAGAGGTGCGCACGGTGGTTGTCATAACGGTGGGCGCGACTGCAGAAGAGAAGCGTAGTTCTGTTACAAAGCGTTGGCAGAGTAATTTCGACTTAAAACTAAGTAAAATTGATATCCTTGTTAGGTATCGGCGGTGCCGTAGTGACACTATCCGGTGCCATCATTAGACATCAATAGCCCTGAGGTTTCACAAGAGTATGCTTTTGAAATATGCCCCTAAGGTGGGACAGTCCCTCTAACCGGCTTTTATGGTTGCAGCATGGAGTCCCTGTACAGCAGAAGCGGCGGCGGCGGCGGCGGCGGGGACGCGGTCTGCTCGCTCTGCACCTCCGTCACGAGTGTGGCCGAGTCTGCCGTGGTGTTACGGCTGCGGCGACGGCGCCGGCGCCCTCTGGCGGCGCGGCCGCGCTCCTCCAGCTGCGACCGCGCTGCGCTGCTCGCCGAATGGAAGCGCTGCAGCACCGCCTCGGGCGGCTCGTTGCCTGGCTCGCCGGCCACCGAGCGGCGGCGGCGGCGGGAGGCCGCTGCCGCCGCGCGGCCCGAGGCGTTCGCGCTCGGGCCGCTCTCGCGCCGCTCGCAGCCGCTGCTGGGTGCGAAGAAGCGGCACGCCGCCGCGGCCGACGTCTCGCCCGAGGCATCGGCCAAGTATCGAGCTCACACTAAGCCAGCGTCCAAGCGAAGCAAGGAGCTGGAGAACCGACGCCGCCTGCTTGTGCGCTCCGACACGGACGAGACACTAAAGCCGGCCGACTCGGCGTCGGGACTAAGCGCTGCTTCCACGGTCGCGGAGCTGGAGCTGGATTACTACGACTATGATGTCGCTAACGCCAGCCAGGCGCCCGGGTCCTACTTCGGTATGGACCCGCTGCAGCTTAGTCTCTGCGCGTACGACTATGACGCCACACCCACCGAGGACCTGGAGATGACTGAGCTAAGTGAGGCCGAGCCGCGCTCACAGGTCACCGAGGTCACCGAGGTCACTGAGATCACCGAGGTCGCCAGGGGGACAGACGCTGATGGCATATTGTTCGCTGATGACACCGATGAAGAGGGCAGTATACAGGAGGACAAGGACTGAATTTAGAGGAGGGTGGACAGCTTATTGAGGAACGAAAAGTAAAGAGGACCATCGCTTGCTGACGACTATCAGAGAGACGGGAATGAGTGCAGAAAAGCGCAAGCATGGAGTTCCTCAGAAGGTCAATGATTGACCGAAAACCGTTCACAAAGAAGAATGATGAACAGAATGTAGTTGTTTGCTTGGGCCCCAAAGGTACATCACTCACCAGTCAGTGAGGCACAGATGACTTATTCTGCTATGATGGTCAACCTGGGTGCTAGGGCGCAAGGTCAGTGCGGCGTAGAAGTGCAGCGATGCCCACCCAACCCTGGATAAGCTTCTGTTGAGACGTCGCTCGACAGTGGCCGCAGTGCGAATAGCCGTAACAAACCTTATGGTGCAAGGAATATCACACATGCAAGGGTTACGCCCCAGCATGCAAGACCAGATATCACCGGGGATACTCACAAAGTGCAATATTGCCACATACCAAGAGCTTTAATTCATCATTTGTCATCTTACGGGCGTTTTGTTTGTTCAGTGCTGTGACTTGCGACGCAGTACAGATACCTGAAGCCGTCAATGCGGATGCCTGCCTCAGCGTGACGATTCTCCGATGTCAGTCAGATGAGAGCTGATTACCTGAAGCCGTCAATGCAGATGCCTGCCTCAGCGTGACGATTCTCCGATGTCAGTCAGATGAGAGCTGATTACCTGAAGCCGTCAATGCAGATGCCTGCCTCAGCGTGACGATTCTCCGATGTCAGTCAGATGAGAGCTGATTACCTGAAGCCGTCAATGCAGATGCCTGCCTCAGCGTGACGATTCTCCGATGTCAGTCAGATGAGAGCTGATTACCTGAAGCCGTCAATGCAGATGCCTGCCTCAGCGTGACGATTCTCCGATGTCAGTCAGATGAGAGCTGATTACCTGAAGCCGTCAATGCGGATGCCTGCCTCAGCGTGACGATTCTCCGATGTCAGTCAAATGAGGGCTGATTTTATTGGCTATAGAAAGATTCTTTGTAAAGGATTCTTTTTCGGCTTGATTTTATTGAGTACACGGGACTCTGTACCCACGCAATCAATTTATTTGCATTCTCGTGTTCCTATGCATGTGTAACAGTACGTCACATAACATGCGCACCGAAATAACTGTGTTTTCTCCTTACCCCGCATTGTCAATGTCAGTACAAATGAGTGCTTGTCTAAATGCAATGCGCATGAATGAAACTGTTCACCATGCATCATTCGTTTCTTACTTCTTAAGGGATCCAAGTGGCAACTATACAACTACTGTTTTTAACTTTTCTTGCCGAATCGACACAGCTGCAAAGCACCCCGCCAGTGTTGTGCTTCGAAGAGCACAGGCGCGCCGTATTGCTTTCGTCGGCAGTGATTTTGTTATGCGTGTTTCCTGATAATGATCAATTGATTTGGAATATGCTGTAAATGGTCTTAATACAACTTTGACTGGTATGCAGCGTGCAGCAGACAACCTGAAAATATTCGAACCTGAGGAACTTGAGCGAAAGTAACCAGCAAACCACCCCCCTTCCGTCAATATTTGTACTTAAAATTAAATGAAGAAGAAGAGGCGCTTGAACGCTTATGGATACAAACTGCTCGCTCGTACCCATAATGCGATTTAAATTAATTACTGACAGGCAATCCATGACATTAAACAGCTATGTGCTCTTAGATTCAAAGAAGGTTGACGCCGCTTGGCCGAGTTTTTTTGGTGAATATACTTTCGTCATCTAAATTCGTAGATTAGTTCCCCGTATTGGCAAACTCGGAAACCCCTGAAATCATGCATGCCGAGGCTGGAACCATTTATATTTCTGTCAGTCTGGGGAAAGAATGACAAAATGAAGCTAGCGTTTGCAAAAAACAGCACTTAGAAGGCGGCGCTGGAGCTCCAGATGTTGGAGTGCTGGCTAGTGCGCTCAAGGTATCATGGATTAAAAGATGGCGGACCGAAAAACGCCAGTTGAAAGCTTTTTGCCAACCATCCATTTCTCGTCGGTGGATGGTCGGACATTTTCAATGTGCCATTGGAGACCACGATATTCGGAGCAGGAATCTCACTGATTCCTGGGGTTAGACCGGAACGGCATGAACTCAGCTACAACAAATAAGAAATGCAAGCAACAAAACATTAATACGGCCATTGTTTTTTCAATCGCTTCTTTGACTCTTAACTATGTATACCAAACGGATAATTGTGCTTAATGAAAAGACGCAACTTAGTGTATATCAAAAACTTGTACAACTTTTCCGCTAAACGGTGGTACACAGTTACGGAATTACGGCAAAGTACGGTATCTGGATGTCATGACGCGAAACACCGTGATCAGTAGAGTGAACGAAGTATGACGATCATTGCAACGAGCTTAGAGGTCTGGGCTTCCTCAACGGCAGTATCAAAGCCAAGATCTGTGAATAACGCCACGGAATGGGTATATGGAGCTCTGTTCGTTCCCAAAATGACTGCAGATTGTTCATGACAAGCAAAATAAAACTCGGAGATTAGGGAGATTCTTCAATGGGACAAACTGACTGTTCTACTTGCTTTTTCTTCTTAGTTACATACATGTCCGTCGGCTGACGACTTTCAGAGATGGTCAGCGTCACGACACCAGCCTGCTCGTTTTCACCTTTGGTACCACCCGACTTCCAGATTCGCTCACCGCTGGTTACCTTCGTTATAAAGCAAGAGTATTCATTCCAAATCCACTCAGGTGTTTTAAATGTCAACGGTTCGGACACGGCAGCAAGTACTGCAAACAGAATGCCGGATGCTTGAAGTGCGGCGAGACTCCTCACGAGGGATCTGCCTGCACATCACCCCAGAAATGCCTGAGCTGTGGAAGTGCTGATCACGCCGCCAACTCTTCTCAGTGTCCTACGTGGAAAAAAAATTGTTCTGAAAAGGCAAAGACAGGTGTGTCGTACCCCGAAGCACGGCGCACCGTTGAATCCAAAATGTCGTCGCAGCCCAGCAAAACATATGCACAAGTAGCAAAAGCCACAATGGCCACATGTGCAACACAGACCGACCCTATCACCCATCTGCCTCCCCCGAAACTTCTCAACCCTTGCCCCTCGGTTTCAGCTGAGTCAACTACACAGACCCAGACGAAAAATGCCGTTGAGTCGCCCCTGGCTGGACGCTCGGATGCCCAGGCGCTCGTGCACCCCCGTCCCCAGGTTGGCCGGCGTTCCAGCCCGCCGGCTGTGCGTGATTCACGTGCGGTTCAGGCCGTCCGGCGTTCTAGCCCCCCGGCTATGAACAGTCGGCGGCCCGGACCCTCTGGCCACTACACGAACATTACCTCCCCTCCCCCCACCACAACACCGGTCGAAACACGCCCGAACGAAGTCCGCCGGTCCCGTCCATCGGTGAGGGTAGAGATGGGACGGCCTCGGTCTGTTTCGTTCGGGCGATTCCCATCAACTGGTGGGAATGGATCCTTTCATCACTAAATGTCTTTCATCTTACAGTGGAATTGTCGCGGTCTCATTTCAAAATGGTCCGAAATGAAAGCCCTTTTTGCTGTACTAACTCCAATCATCATTGCCGTACAGGAAACATGGTTTCGTCCCACCGACACATATAACTTTAAAATGCCAAACTATTCTTTATATCGCGCTGACACCACGGACGGTGAGCGTCGCCAAGGTGGGGTGGTGCTGTACATCAGTCAAAAATTAACACACACGCCACTCACTTGACACACCTCTTCAGGCTGTTGCATGTTCAGTTCGACTGCATGGCCGTATCATCGATATATGCTCAATATACATTACACCAAATTATAATAATACGGAGCTCTTACGGCAACTTGACCAACTCGTTGCTCAATTTCAAAACCCTTTTCTCATCCTCGGCGATCTCAACGCTCACAGTCCAGCTTGGAGTAACGCCACCCAAGCCGTTGATCGCCGAGGACATTTGGTTGAAGATTTTATTGATACACACAACTTAGTCCTGCTAAACAAAGGCAATAATACTCATCACCACTTACCCACTGGTACAGAAACAGCGATCGACCTGTCGCTGTGCTCTCCCTCAATAGCGACATACTTTGATTGGACTGTTGAGGGAGATATGCACGACAGCGACCATTTTCAAATTAAGCTTTACACCACTTTTGACGCAACCGCTGACGAAGTTTTGCGATCCATACCCCGCTGGAATTTACGAAAAGCAGACTGGGCCAAATTTCAAGAACTGTGTTATGTGAATCGAGACTGTTATGAATCAACAGAGCAGGGTGTTGGCCTTATGATACATATTGTTCATGCTGCAGCAACCGCGACTATTCCACTGACTAAAACCCCATCACGCCGCATCCCAGTACCATGGTGGACGACCAAAGTTAAGAACGCTATTGCGCGTCGGAAACGTGCTTTCCGCTGCTTCCGTCGCCATCATGATGTACCTCATCTTCTTGCCCGAAATTATGAGCGTGCTCGAACCAGACGAATTATAAGGAAAGCCAAACGTCATTATTGGCAAGCATACATCCAGCAGTTCACTGCTGCTACTCCTCTAAGCCGGCTATGGGGACTGGTTCGAGCGCTTTCCGGAAAACGCACCTCTATTTCATTGCCCACTTTACGAATTAATAACCAAATCATTTCGGCAACACCTCTCATCACCAATGCTCTAGCTAAAAGTCTGTCTCAGTGTACCTCATCCGGTTATTGCCAACCAGGATTTGTGGAAACTGCGCAAGCCCGGTTTCGTTGACATACTAATTGTTCTCCCGCCGATAACACCGAAGACTCTAATTAACCATTTCATTTCTGGAACTACAAAAGGCTATAAAATCCGCCGGCAACACCTCAGAAGGTCATGATCAGTTACACTATTCTTTTTTCGTAATATTTCAGAAGATATGCTTCGTTTTATATTGGCAGTTTTTAATGATTTGTGGTCAACCCATGTCTTTCCTGACGCCTGGAAAGACACCATCATTATTCCACTTGCAAAGCCAGGAAAAGACAGCA